CACACACACATATATATACTCTCAACATATGAGACCCAAAACCCTTTGAGGAGAGAGAAAGCAATGGCATTTCGGAGAGGCGCCCCAAAACGTCTCAGTTTCTCTCTCTACATATGAGAGGGACGGACATTACCATAATATCACAAATAACAATAGAAGGGCAATTTGGAAAAAAAAAAATAATAATATAATGTAGATTTTCATATCCAGACTTTGATAAAATTTTATTGATTTGGAAAAATTTGTCCTTTAACCCACAAAAATCTATTTTTTAAAAATTATCCCAATTGAATAATAGGGAAACAATTTCTGAAAAAAAGTAACTCCATCTCGATTCCTCCACACGTGTGCATTTTTTATTTTTCACTTTTCTCCATTCAAATTTCAAATTCTGATCGGTTCAAATTCACTTATTTGAAATAATAGCAAAACAATTTCAGAAAAAAAAAATAAAAAAAACTCCATCTCGATTTCTCTGTTTAAAATTCAAATTTTGACTGGACCCAATTCATAGATACTTTTGACCATATATGTTCAACATTTTAGGGTGGTGATCATAATTTAAAGGGTAAAGTGAAAAAACTCTCCTAAATTATTATTTTTTTTAAATAATTTTTATAAACTAAAAATTATTCCTCTAAACTATTGATTTGTTGCCATTAAAGACAAATCTATCATAAAAGGTTATATTACCCTTTCTTATTAAAATTTTCATTTCTTATTAAATTATTTTTATTATCTTTTCTCTTATGTAAATATTAATTATAGTATTTACCTTAATTTTATTATTATTATCAATTTATCATTAAAAAAAATAAAAAAACATAGATTTGTAAATATCATTTTCTAAATTGATTAAATTATAATTAAAAAAATTACTTATAATAAAACTTATTATAATCAATTTAAACACTTTTATCGTAAAAAATATATTATTTGTTATACAATATATTGATAAAAATGAATAAAATACTTTTAGAAAAATGCCTTCTTTTCATGTAATATATTCATTAAAAAATAAAAAATTAATTAATTTTTAAAAAAATTTATACTAAATTTTTTTATTTAAATAATTAAAATTTAATGGAGAATATGTGATCAAATTAGTATGATTTTTCTATAATTTATTTATATAAGAAAATTATATTAAATATAATTCAATAAGAAGGGGTATTATGGTTATTTAATAAAATATAATATAGGCATTGGAATATGTTGTAACAAAATGTGATAATTTAGAAGATTTTATGCATAAAATATAATTCAGGGGTTATTTGCAAATTCAAACATAATCCAAAAAGTTTGTTGCACTTTACCTTTAAATTTTTTTTTTTAATTATTATTACATCAACATGTCTTATAGGCGGTCAGTATATTTCAAACATTTGACTAACAAATTCTACATAAAGTGTGATAAAAAATAAAAAATAAAAATAAAAAACCCTCTGACTTATGTTAGAATTTGCAAATTACTCCCTTAAAATATATTTTTGTGCATAATATCCCTGAATTATCACATTTTATTATAAAATACCTTGATGAATAAACTATTTTACATTGAATGACCATAATGTCATTTCTTATTGAATTGCACTTAATGTATTTTTCTTATTTAATTAAATTATTAAAAAAAATCATACTAAGTTGATGACATAATCTCCATTAAATTTGCATAAATTCACCTTTAATTTTTAAAGTTAAGTGTTTAAATAAAAATCTTAAGTAGAAAATTTTAAAACAATTTAAATAATTTCTTAATTTTTCGTGAATATATTACATTAAAAAGAAGTTATTTTTCATGTAAGTAATTTATTATTTTTTCATGAATATATTGTATGAATAAGAAGGTATTTTATTGCGCTAAAAAAATTTAAACTAAGTATAATAAGTTTTATTATAAATAGTAAAGTTTTAATAATAAATTAATCATTTTAGAAAATGATATTTACAAATCTTTATTTTTTTCATTTTTATGAAAAAATGATAATAATAATAATAATAAAATTAAGGTAAATGTTATAATTAATACTTAGATAAGGTAAAAGATAATAAATATAATTTAATAAGAAATGAAAATTTTAAGGCAAAAGGGTAAAATAATTTTTTATGATGAGTTTGTCCTTAATTACAACATATCAATAGTTTAGGGGGTTATTTACAAAAAAATAATAGTTTAAGGGATTTTTTTTTTTTTTTTTTTCCCCTTTATCCTATATAATACAATTGCCTCATCTTCTAACTTATGTAACTTTACTATAATTGTCTTAATCAATAAACAAATGAAAAAAAAAAATCTATATGTATATTAACCTTATCCATGTCGTATCTAATTTTAATTTTTTTATTATATGGTGTTCATATTTCGTATCTATGTTTCTCAAATGCTGGGAGTTTTCAAATAGTGCAATAAGGAAGCGGTAAAAATTAATGAAGTTTTTAGAAGTGACAACTTAAACATATTTATTATCTATGATTCTAGATAGACATTTTTTAATTTTTTTTTAAACAAATGACATATGATAAATATGTGTGCTAATAATTAAATATTTAGAAATGAAAAAATATTATAAGATTGAAAATTTAGAATAATTTAGAAAAGTAAGGAGAAAGGAGTGAGCTATAAATACGCAATGGAGTTGCTCAAGCACTCCAACCTCCAAACCCTCCTGGGAACCATTGTTCAAAGAAATTTTGTTATAAATTCAATTGTCTAAATTATCCCATTATCAATTGAATGTCCTACCTACAATCTAACAGAATCCATATTCATATGAAACAAAAATCATGAACAGAGTTTATAATCCAAATTAGCGTTTATAATCCAAATTAGCTTTTAGGTTAATAAAATTGAATGTAATTTGTCTTTCCAATACTTTTAATTTAGTAATATTTAAAAATTTAGACAATATAAAATGACTATTTTAGATCATTTCCAAACAGGACACAGAACCTATAAATAAATTAAAAAAAAATTAAATAGTCTATGACACACTGTTTGCCTGTTTGAACTCTACATAACACTTTGTGGCAAAATGCCATTAAAAACAGTCGCACTCGCTGAGTTATTAAAATTGCCACCAATAACTTTTTCATCTGTACCTTTTTCATCTGATAATGGCAACATCCAAACTATGAATTGCCCCAAAAAAAAAAAAAAAATTTGAAAGATAACAAAAAGCTGAGACTGTTATATATATATATATATATATTTAGCACAAGCTTATGCAACAAAACTAACCTTTACCTATTTACCTTAAAAAAAAATAATAATAAAACAAGACTGACATAAAAAAAAATGGTGGGTGATTAAGAAAATTAAATTTCACCGGATGATTAAGAAAAATAAGGCTCTCACTTCATATCTTTTAGCTAACAAAAAAGATATTTATCAGTTGGTCAAGCCTCAAACTACAATATTAGCCATACACGTGGCTGTGGCTACTACGACTATAAAATTATAATAAACTCAAACAAATGTCTCCAGCAATAATTAATTTAGAAAAAATATCTACTGAAAAAAATAATTAATTTAGAAAAACAGTTGCTGACTTTAACTTTCTACACATCAATAAAAACATTAAAACCACTCACCAGCTACAGGAAGTCTCCTAGACTGCCAACCATGCTTCCCACTATCCCTTAATTCTAATTTTATTTTGGTTTCTATTTTATTTTTAAAATTTTATTTTTTTGCAAAACTGTGTAGAACAAAAAAACTTTAAAAGCCAAAAAAATAATAGAAGTACAATTTGCAGATTATAGTCATAACCACAATTTGCAAGTATACTACTACTCATATTATCAATTCATTTTTTTAATTAAAATATTTTATTAAATGTAGACTTTTTGAGATAATAAAGGGACTGTTTGGTTTATAACTCTGAAAATAGTTTTTAAAAATTCAGATAAAAAAAGTTTTTAGAGAACAATAAAAAGGCAATTATCTGAAAACATGTCTTTTTATAACTGAATTTTCATAAAATAGATTTTAGAAAACTGAACCAAACACAATTTTTTTTTTATATAGTTTTCAGTTTTCAATTTTCTGAAAACAAAAAATTATTCTCAGAATTACAAATCAAGCTGCCCCAACTTTTTTTGTATTATAACATTATAGCTCTCTTGTGAAACTACATGTGTGTCCAATCCAGTGAATCTTCCTATTAAACAATGTTTCATATTACTTTCAGTCTGTTATTGAGATTTTAAGCCTTTACTAATTGTTAATGATTTTTGGCTTGGTTACTTAATATTTCTTGATAATATTAAGTATTAAACGAGCAATATTACTATATATTTGATAATTTTGATTTAATCTTTCTTGAGGGCTGAATGGGATGAAAAAGGGCAGCTTAAATACTTAAATTAATGAACTTAATTTTAATCCACATAATGTAAAGGTTTTCCTTGTTAAATATAACACATGCATATAACGTGGAGTGAAAATTCCCTACCAATTCAATAACAACAATATTGAATTATTTATTCCTTTGAGGCTTACTGCGCTATACAAATTAATTTTTTCTTGTATATGTTTGTTTTTAATTTACTGTTATTATCATTTCATTATGGGCTCCGTTGTTTCTACGTGGGAAAATATATTATATTTTTAAGTAAAATGTTTTTTTTTAATTTTTATTTTTTAGTATTTGATACATCTAGGTCGTGGTTGAGGTGAAATCCATCGGGTGGATCATGTAAAATAATTTGTCGAAAATAAATGAACAAGTTATTTTTGTTAGGTTTTAATATTATTTTTCTTCATAAATATTTTACTACAATCAGACCCTGGAAAAAAATATTTTACCTAATTTTCCTTAGTTCTTCTGGTGAACATAACAAATTGCATTGAAACCATACTTAATTTGAATGCAAAGTGAATGAAAGCTACAACAGAGTACTGATTCAATTTTCATGGGCAAAGTTAGCGTCACATATTTACGCAAGAATATAGAACAAAATTATTAACAATTAGTGAAGATGAACCATGCACAGAGATTTCAGAAAAGCTTGCTTGCAAATTCTTCATCGGCCTCCCCTTTTCTTGAAGAAGAAGCTGCAAGTTCCTTTAGCTCTGACATGCTCCTTCCCAGCTGCAAAGCCACCTTCATTTCAAACAATTCCCCATTCTCTCTCCTCTCCACATCTCTTTCCTTCAAGTTTGATTCTATGGACTCTTCCATCAGCTTAAAGAAACCGGCATTGCCTCTATACATCTCAAACACCATTCCCACCTGTCCACCATGCTCCATCGTGTTCACGACGCTCGCCAATGCACCACCAACAACTCCTAGCACCGCGCCCCATGAACCGTGGCTTGGAGATCCCACGAAGGCGGATCCAACAGCTGCTAGGCCGGTCAGTAAAGGGCCGGAAATGGCCAATGCTTTGCTGATTTTCAATGCCTTTTCACCCAACCTCAAATAGTCTGCCTTGTCCTTCCTTTGCACAACCCCAACAACCTCTCTCATCTCTTCTTCCAATCTCCTATCCCAACCATTATTGTCCATCTCCCCACTTGACCCTATCCCTTTTCTACGTTGTTGGCGCGGCCACCACACTGCAGGCTCCATGGTGGATGGGAATTTGTCGAGCATAACGCCGATTAGAGGGAGAGGGTAGGCCTTGTCAAGAGCCAAAACTCTCTCCATCGAGTCCTTCACATCATCCATTGTGGGAGTGCCATTAGACATGATCGTCTGAATTTCTCGGTGAAGCTGCTTGAACAATCTTGCAGCATTTCTCTGTTCTTCAGCCAGTTGAGAAGGTTGAATCTTGTTCATGACCAACAACATTCCGGTAGCTGCCAAATACATCAGAGTAGAAGACAGCTTAAGAGCCACAAGAGGAGCACCAATAATATTAGTACTAGCTGCAATACCGGCCATGGTTGCAGCTGTGAGAGTGATTGCGTTTATGGACGTTAAGAGTAGGCTATTCCAGTTGCTCCGCTGCTCTCCAATATTTTTATGGATCTCCACTCTATCCGCGACAGCCTCCATGACTGCATAGAGCTTCGCGATCACCACTGGATCGTCGGAAACATCAGTATCATTTCTCGTTGGAATAGTGTTCATAATATTGATGTTATGGGCAGTGGTTGAATTTGTGTAACCAATTCTTGGTTCCAAAACTCCGGTTGCGAGAGTCGGAAAAGAGAGAGGACTCGTGGGGAGTCTTGGCGCATTGATGGCACCTCTAGTTGTTCCTCTTCGACACCGCGAAGAAGAAAAAGATGAATGCATGATCCTTGAAGCTTGGAGGGCTGCCATTGTAGTTTTTTTTGTGGTGCTAAGGTTATGTATGATCTATAGTTTCTTGGTTTTTTTTTTTTCTGTTGTAGTTGTGTTTGTGTGTGAAGTGGTTTTAGGCTTTGTTGATTGTGGAATATACAATTGCACGAACACATATATATATAGAGGAGGAGTTGGAGAATTGAATTTCATACAGAAGACTGAATAAATTAAACTGCGGTTCAACGTTAACCGTTGTGAGTTGAATGGGTTCATGGCTTAGACTTTTCTTGTTCTATGGCATTAGTGCTCTCTCACACTTCACTTTGGCTGCTTTGGCCTCAACCCTGGAGTGGGTCTACATTGACTTTCAAACAAAAACTAAGGTAAAACCTTGAAATGGCCAACGTGCAAAGACCATAGCCAAAATCAACCATTTTGCCTAGATAATTTCATAATTAATTGATCATTGCATCATTTTTATGAATATAATTTCATAATGTTCATAAATTTATCCAACTTGATTTCAGATTGAGTGCAATAAATTAATGACTTTCAAAATATATATATATATAGATTATATATATTTTTTAAAACTTGGGTCTTTTTAGCCTAACCGAGTCAATCTTTTGCGGTCTGAAATAAATATTATTATTATTATTATTTTTCATTTGAATTTTAGGTGGGACAAGATTCCTTGAACAGTAAACTATTATGTAATGTGTTGTGACGAAAGATAAATTCTTGGTATTTTTGTTGGGGATGTAATGTTCACCATCCTAAAAATACACACGCATAATGACGACATAAGTTTGTTACAACTGAACAAATCATTTTAAGATGGATTTAGGCATTCAATTTGGATTGGCGGTTAATACAACAGATAAATGAACAAATCAAGTTGATCAGCTTAATTATAACTCTTGCGTCTCTGCAATCTGCATATATCACATTTGTGTTTCAGGTATCATGTATATAATGTTCACCCTTTATATCTGCCACTCTAACGGGTAATCCAAAGTGAATGACCGCGTGATGCGTAAAGAATAATTACGCCTTTTGTTTGAATATAAAATATTTTTTTAATTTTTTAGTACCTGGTTGTCAGTAAAATATTTATGAAAAAAATATATATTAAAATTTTACAAAAATAACTTATATATCAATTTTCGACAAGTTATTTTACATGTCTCGCCAGATGAACTCGTCATTAAAATCAATCTAGATCTTTACCAAACACCAAAAAAGTAAATATATATATTTTCTGTTTTACATGTAAACAAACAGATAACATGCAATAAGCATATATTTACGGACTATAGGGTTGAGGGACATTTAAAGCTACCCTTCTTCCCAAAACCATTGATGAGGTAAGCTTGACCGCTTAGAGCTCGATAATCAAACTAGAGCTAGAGCTCGAATAGCCGGAAATTTTGGTTTGATTTGCCTCATTTGCACACCTAGCGAGGTTAATTTCATTTTTACAGTTAACAAATATATTGACTGAACTTCCTATCTTCCAACATGTCTTTCTAACCTACTAATGGGTGATATAACTTTTCATCCCTCAAAAAACCTTTTAACTTTATGATTTCTATGGGTTCCTTAGGGGTGTCGGTGTAATTTACTCATTATCTTATTACTACACAATATGCCATTTAATATATAAATTAATACACTTACATAAGGTCAACAAATTTTATTTTTTTCCCGACCGCCAACTTTTGAATGAAAGCAAAATAATAATAGATTTCTCATCCATCCCGTCATCCTTCCTACCTCACCACTCCTGACCGCCAATTTTTGAATGAAAGCAAAATAATAATGAATTTCTCATCCATCCCTTCATCCTCCCTACCTCACCATGGCTAACGAATGGCTAAAACAAAACGGTTGAGTTGACCATGCTTTTTGCATTGTCGGCTATTTCAAGGTTTTACTTGTTATTTGTTGAAAGCCAATGTAGGAAAAGACCATACTAAAATCCTACGTTTTGTTGTAAGACGATAAAGCATGTGCCTAGCATTAGTCAAAATGTATAATAACGTACGATGTTGAAGATGTTAAACAATAATCGAATTTATGAGGAACCATTGATCAACGAACTGCGAATCAAAGTTAATAACTTGACAGAATTCCTTAATATTTTCCATTGAAAATCTAGCACCAACTACAGTGATACACATCAGGCTATATTCTGAGTTCATGGTTTCTCCAATAGAAGCAATAGTTCATCTGTTTACACATACTACTATGTGTGGGAAAATAAAAAAGAGAAGAAAGCAGTGGTGCAACCACTCTTCACCATCTACTACTATTAGCTACATACAACATCCCCATAACTGTGTTAAGGTAATCTGAAGCACACACTCATCCACAAATTCCTTTCACTCAACTTCTAGACTTTAGCCAATGCCACAGACCGTGCTCGCAGATTCAAAAATATTCCCCTAAACAATGGAAAAGAAAGTGACAAACCATTTTCATTGCCAAATAATGTAAATGGGAATCAAGAAGATAAATTATGCTTAAAACGACAAGAACGGCGAAGGGGATCCAAGAGTACATACCAGCAACATGCAACAACACTGTGGAAGATCACGCGGAACTGCAGTGGCACATACTGGTGATTTATCCATCCCACCACTGGCCAGAACTGCATATTCATTGTAGATTTTTTCGAATAATTTAGGACCATGCTTCTATATAACAGAATAACATAATTATATATGATTATAAAATGAGATACCGTCCATGCTGTATACTGCACTCTCGGATATTCCTTCTTGATTCTAGCTTTTACATGGACCCAGGGTCTTCCTGCACTTTATAAGATTTTATTCAGCAAAAAACGTAGTCTAATTAGGAAAAGTAAGGCCTCACTACCATTTCTGGTTCAAGAAATTGCTGCATGAAATGTCCATAACTAGTCAATTTACCATCAATTTAATGCTTCAGGCAAGCTAAGATATTTGAGAAAATGAGTTGTTCGACTCTAAAATGGCATGCAGCATTTTATGTACAAAAGTTACACAAAATCAAATTTAAGGTTTGAAGTGGGACTAACTTATCCACCCTGTTTCTTTCTATTTTTTACCTTGGCAAGAAACTCATGCACTCACTTTGCCCCTATGGGGATTTGAACCCTCGAAGCAATATATCATACGGCACTTTTCCTAGGATCACATATAAGGGTTGCCAAGGAAACTTTGTAACTTGCATCCTTGTATTGTAAATAACATTATTTACAAGTTGTGATGCAGATTTACCTTCAATTACTAACCCAAAGTAAATCATGAAAAGCATGTTGTTCCAGGGAGATGATGTCAACTGTTCCACCATCACCTGAAATGTTTAAATAGGACACTTTTAGGATAGCCTTTTTTTCTTTTTTTCCTTTCTGTTTCTTAACACTCAGCCACTCGCGCACCCCCCAAAATCAGCTAGAACGTCTTGAATAAACCATCAGACATTAAAACTTATTTAAGCTTTTAAGGAAGGCAATTGAGGTTAATAGGTATTTGGTTAATATTTTAAAGATTCCTCAACTATTTTGAAATCTATTTTTTTTTTTTTTTTTTAACAACAAAACATGAGAAGGTAAAAAAACAAAGGGCATGTTAATCACGTTTTATTGTAAAGGAAATGATTAGAAATTTGGAATCTTAAAGTTACTCAGATTGCATTGGTTGTGAATTCTACAATTACCTTTCTAACCCTGTCCTCTCAAAACAAATCAGCATAAGGATAAAAAGAATACCTTCTTGGCTATTGTTTTTGTATCCTTCTTCCCTTTGAAAAGTTTATCCAGTAATATGTGAAGAAAATGCCCAAATGGCCCAAGATAAACAAATCCAAAAAGCTGCATTTAGCAATGTTACGATAGATATCTCATAAATATATATATATATATATATATATATATAAACAAAATTAGAACTATTATGTGCTCAATATATTGCTGTAATTATTACAGAGGTCAACATCAGATTAGTAAGACAAACTAGGAACCAGTGAATCACACATCATATCAGCAATCTAGAGATGATCATCACCAGAGACAGTGAAATACAGACAATCCTTTTAAATATCAAGGTGTTTGATCAATGTTTGCCAGGTCTATATGGATACAGAAGAACATTGCAAGGGAAAATCCGTGACTTATAGTAGAAATATGATATCTCACATGAAGTGGGCTTATGGGAAAGTTGGTAGTTGAACTCTTTCTGGGCTAATGAAGTAATAAGAAGCCTTGCTTATAAGAGCTTTTCAGAACTGAGAGTTGAACTCTATCACAGCTTTGTTACATTATATGGCATCTGGTTCAGTGACTCGGGTTCTGAAGGGTGGACTATGGTCATGTTGGAGATTGACAGTAGGAATACTAGTATACTGAAGCTTTGTGCCCATTCATCTTAGAATATGCTTAGATGGCTGGAAAGACTCCAAATATTTTCAAATCAATATATTAATTAAAAATTCATCATCTTGATGTTACATGCCTAGTAAATACAACCAAAAATGAGATTTTGAAATCATGCCCAAATCAAGGTGAGATTAATTTCAATTAAATAACATTAGCAGCTTTCGGATAAGCTGAAGGACAAAAAAGGCCCAGCGAATTTCGAACTATTGTTGACCATTTTTCCGATATTTTGTTTATCAAATTTTCAACAAAATAAATCACGAAAGCAAAAGAAATTTGGGGAGAAAGTACATCCTAATTTTTATTTTTTTTTAAATAATAATAATAAATAAATAAAAGAGCCTATAGAATACTTTGTTGAAATGAATTTAGCAATTCAAAAGTCCAAATTTTCTGGTAATATAAAGTTGGGTATGTTTACTCTGGCTAAAAATGCGTACTTATGTGTGTATAAACCCCTCAATTTGGTGAATAGAATCACTCAATCAGTCTTTCAAATTGTGATGACCCATTTGAGTAACAGAACAAACCTTTCAGAACCCTATGTTACATTTCAATTTAATTGTCACTATACTAACATAGAATTACCCACCACTAATATAAACAGAGTGAGGTTGGGGTTTAGAGAAGCTTCATACCACTTTGAGAAGAAGGCGTCTGATTTGAAGTTTCTTTATGCCGGTGATCTTCTGAGCCACTATATCACTGACCGCCGACAACACTCCGGCTGTTATTGCCTGCAAATTAAAGCAATACAAAAATTACCCAATTCACAAATCGAACATATCGATCAAATGAACCAATACCCATATCATAAAAAGCAAAGAAATGCACAGAGAGACGAACCTTGGTTCTCAAAGGATGATATCGAAGCTGTAACAAGTACTGTTGCAACCCATTCTTCGCTATTGACGCCATTTTTAGAATAGCAAGAGAGACGAAGACGACGGTTGCTCTCTCTTTTTTTTACACACTCCTGCGGTAAAGTTTGGAATGCCTGTAAAATATCGACCAAGACATACTTTGTGTGTGGGCCCAAATTCGCGCCTTCCGTTCTGCTAAATCTCTGTGGTTTGCCCAACTGTTTCTTAGAATTAATTAAGAAAAATAATTCAATATTTTTACAGTTGAGAAAAAAATGATTTAATATTTGTAGAGAGTATTTTATAATAAATTAAGAAAAACGATTTAATATTTTAGAGAGTATCTTACAATTAATTAAGAAAAATAATTTAATAGAAGGTGTTAGTTACCATTAGGCTTTAGGCCATCAATAAGATCAGTGGACTTCCTTCAAGGCCCGTTAATAAGATCAGTGGACTAACTTCGAGGCCCATTTACAATTTTAATATCTGTAGTGATGGTTTCGTTTGTTCTTAGTTTTATTTTATCTGGTGAGGGAAAAAACAAGAAAAAAAAGTTTAGAAGAATATAGCTGTTGGATGTTCATCCATTTAATAATCCATTTGTACAATTTCTTATGTTATAGTTAGGGATGGCAAATTACGACACGACACGATAACACGATACGAGTTAAAAAAGTTTAGATTTGCGTTTAATATAAACGGGTTTGGGTCATAAAAAGGTCAACACGATTAATTCGTTTACTTGAACGTATTGGGTTATGGTTGAAGGGTTCAACCCGTATAACCCGTTTATGATCTATTTAACTCAACATGTTATAATCGTGAATATGACTTATGTAATATGTTACCTGTTTAAACCCAATTATTATGAATAGTTAAGTCATTTCAATATAAATCTTGTCTATGCCTTATTATGCCTTATGATTTTTCTTTTTATTTTAAATATTTGGGTTAATTATAACAAATTTTTTCTATTATTTAGTATTTGATTAAATATTAAAAGTCTCGTTTTGATAAACAGGTCATTAAACGGCTTACCACGTTTACCTGTTTAATAAACGGGTTGGATTAGTGTTGAGGATTCTTGACACGATTATTAAATGGGTTGGATTTGGATTTACCTATTTAGTATAATACCCTTACATCGACATGACACGAACACGAATTGTCACCCTTAGTTATAGTATTTTATATATTTACCCATTAAAATTTATTTGGCACTCACAGCTAAATTTTGTGTCTAATCTTATTTCTAAATTAGTTGCTATAAGAAGACACTAAAAATAAATCCTTAACGAGGACACATTTATAGCTAAATATAAGAATAAAATTAACAATGAGGACACATTTATAGCTAAATATAAGAATAAAATTCGCAATAAATCTTACCATTTTACAAGACATACAGCAATTATTCTATTGTGTTACAACAATTTTGAATTTTTGACAACAATGTTAGTTTGATTTTCTTTATTAAAAAAATAATAATAATAAAACCTCTTTGACCAATTACTTGTTTTCAAATCGGTAAAGATGAAAGTTGTTGCAAGAGGGAGACTTATTTCAAATCGGATTTAGATGGGAACTAACATGGATATAAATGAGTGCATATGCAGTACTACTTAATAATTTAAGTTTTTAAATAAATGAATAAGTGGTAATAATTTAAGTTTTTAAATAAATGATTAAGCGTCCACTTATTACAAAAATCCTTTAAATGAAATGAAAGTCTTCTAAATGATAACAAATATTCTTCATAAGAGATAAATATTTTTCATAAAATTCTAACAAATTTTGATGTTTTCTTAAAATATGAACTAAGCAAATCATGAGTAAATTTAATGGCAAGACGCTAGGTTGAGAAGACAAAGTTTGACAAGATTTTCAACTTGGCCGACATGACAATGAACTATACTCGTGTGAACCACTAAGCCAAATATTTGTTGTTAAAGAATGTGCATTTAAATTATATGAATATTAGTTTTAAAGTACATAAAATATTATACTCAAATAATTTATTTTATGTTATTTGAATATGTGGTTTCCATGTTATAACACTAATGCATTAATAAGTTGCTAGATGCTAAATTCCCGACACACAAAATACTTGGATTGAATAGTTTGTGTTAGAAATATCTCACTTTAATAATAGTATTTTAGGCTAAAGTGTAAAAGAAAAACCCTAAATTATTGCCCTTTTGTAAATAATCTCTTTGAATTAACAATTGAAGAGAATTCCACAATTAGAAAAGGGGCCTTCTTAACTTTTAATTTGTTACAATTAAGGACAAACCAATCACAAAAGACTTATTTACCCTCTCATTATATTTTTTTATTTCTTATTAAATTATTTTTATTATCTTCTCTTATGTAAATATTAATTATACTATTTACCTTAATTTTATTATTAGTATCAATTTAACATAAAAATGAAAAAAAAAAAATTGTAACTACCATTTTCTAAATTAATTATCCTATTATTAAAATTTTATTATTTATAATAAAACTAATTATAACCAATTAAAACATTTTTATCGTAAAAAAATATATATATATCTTTTTTTCATACAATACATTGATAAAAATTTAATAAAATACTTTTTAAAAAAACAACTTCTTTTCATGTAATATATTCATTAAAAATTTTAAAATTAATTAATTTTTTTTTAAAAAAATTCTACTGATTTTTTTTTTATTTAAATAACTAATTTTAAAAATTATAAATAAATTTATACAAAATAAAGGAGAATATGTCATCAAATTAGTATGAATTTTTTTCATAATTTATTTAATGAAATATAGTATACGCACTGGGGTATGTTGCAACAAAATATGATAATTTAGAATATTTTGTGTACAAAATATAATTTAGAGAAATTATTTATTTGCACTGTGGTATTTTATTTGCATAATGTATTTTCACGTAGATGGTCTTATGAAATTAATTGAAGGTGATCTAATAATGAAATGCACTGGCTGTTTAGAAGACTAAAAGGAACCCGGTAATGAAGAGGCTACATGTAACGAGTAGGCGCTTGTCCATTTACCCAAAAGCTCGAACTGTTAAGTAGTGCTGCATACCCACCCATTTATACCCATGTCACTTCCCATCCGGATCCGATGTAGGACAAGTTTCCCCTTGTAACATTCTTTCTCACCCGAACTCGCAACGCCCTCGTTGCGGTTGGGCCACCCTGCCTACCCGGGGTGGCACACCCGGACGCCTTCCAGGTCGGGCGCTTGGCGTGGCACCGGATCAAGGATTGGGTCTGGCTCTGATACCAACTGTAACGGGTAGGCGCTTGCCCATTTACCCAAAAGCTCGAACTGTTGGGTAGTGCTGCATACCCACCCATTTATACCCATGTCACTTCCCATTCGGATCCGATGTGGGATAAGTTTCCCCTTATAACACTACAACACCTGCGATGGAATTTTGAGTACCACAGCTGTTTACTATTTTTTAGGTGATTCTGTTTTTAGTTGATGTGGAACCTTTTAAGCATCTTATAATCAATACGCGTATTCCCATGTTGCAATTATTTTTAGGATAAGATTTGCTTACTCACTTGTGAATGTCATTGTTACTTTGATGTGGTCCAATCACAAATGCATAAATTTAAAAGTGATAAGAGTATCCCAACGTTGTGTATATATTTTTTTTTATGTAAATTTGATGTGTCTAAATAGATTTATACAAATGGTTTAAATTATTTATTTTTACTTCTAGTTTGTTTTATACATTTTGTGTAAAAATATATCCCCCAATAACAACTAGTCAGTATCATTCCTGAATCCCACATAATTTTTACAAACCTACTTAATACGAGGTTAATTCTTGAATGGAACGTGAAAGAGGAAGGAGAAATGAAATATGTTGATGTACCTGTATAAAAAGGTTGTGTAAAAGCATTTCCAACTATTGTGTATATATATATATTTTTTTGTGTAAATCTGACGTGGCATTTCCAACTATTGTGTATATATATTTTTTTTGTGTAAATCTGACGTGTCATAATAGATTTACACAAAAATTTTGAATTATTTATTTTTAGCTCCAGCGGTTGTTTTATACCTTTTATGTAAAAATATATTTCCCAATAAAAACCAACCAATATTATGTCTAGACCCTATATAATTTTTACAAATCTACTTAATATGGGGTTGATTCGTTAATGGAATGAGAAAGATGGAGAATAAATAAAATATGATTATGTAGCTGTATAAAATGATTATGTAAAATAAACAATAATTTTACATGTGGTGACAAGGCAGTGTATCCTAACAGAATGCTGGAGATAAAAAAAAAATTACATATCATACGTGGCAGTGTATTTTAACCGATTGCAAATAAATAAATAAAAATTACACATCATATGGGTCCAAGCATGACACTGGTTGGTTGTTATTGAGAATATATTTTTACACAAAAGGTATAAAACAATATTAGCTGGAGGTAAAAATAAATAATCTAAATTTTTCGTGTAAATCTATTATGATACATTAAATTTACACAAAAATATACATAACAATTGGAGATCTCTAAAATACACAATAATTTTACACATTGGTGACGTGAAAGTGTATCTTAACAAATTGGTGTAGATAAAAAAATTTATACATCATATGTGGCAATTTATATTTTACACAAAAAAATAGTTTAACATACTGTAAATAAGAAAATCAAAGAGGGTGACTAAATTTATTCCAAAAAAAGGTTATTCTTATTTTGTAATTACTGCGTACAAATTATTTGTGCATTTATAATTGGACAACATTAGCGTTCAGCAGTGAGCAGACAAATCTCATTCGGAGAGTGGGGAAGGGGCAACTCGCCCCTTGATATATATATTTTAACCGTTAGTCATTTATTTTCTTTAATTATATACCCTTAAAAAATTACTATTACCCTTTTGAAATTATTGAATTTTTTTTTTTAAATTATTATCCCCTCTCATAAAATATCCTAGGTAGGTCCTGCATGTAAATGTGTAATTTTTGGCGGCCTTTGTCAAAAACTAAAACCTTTGATGGAAAGAGTGGTTAATAATGTTACATATACAAGGTTCCAAAGCATACTTTCTTACAAAGCTCTTCTTCTTTAATGAAACACTGAACTTTGTACCTATCAATAGAAAAAATTGGGGGTGGGCACATGTCCTCTTGTTCGTTGGATAGCTAAGTTTGATCAGATAAAACTGACTTCTATAGTTGTCACATATTTTCGTACAATTTTAGCTTTGTATATATGTGTATGATGTTTCAATTCTCTTGGTGGCTGTCGGATATATATATATATATATATATATATAGCCTTACTGAATAATAATAATAATAATAATAATCTATAGATAGGTGGGTTTTAGATTTTATCTAAAAAAAACAAATTATGTGGAAGCTATTTTTTTGAGCTATGTGATCATTCTTGGAGAGCTCTTTAAGATTTTTTAATACAAAAAAGGAATTAGAGCGAAGTATAGGCAATTTACTAAAAGGTGTTTATGCATTCGAGAAAAATGTACAAATTAAAGTTTCAAGTTCTCTTTAGGATCAAGTAAGATCTTCAACATTTATGAAATTTATAGTTAAATAAAAATATTTTTGTACACCAAAGTTGAATCATATGTTTATAAATTAATAAGTATATATATATTTTTAGTGAATCTAACAATTTGCACTCTATCTCATTGTGAGTTCAATTTTGAATAGATGTATTATTATTTAAAATAGTCTTTTATTAAAAAGAAATGGTAAATTACTTTGACTTCTTTTTGATGTTTGGGCAAATATCACAAAAGTAGACCAATCAACTTTTATTATTCTGATCTCCCTTAAACCTGTTCCTCAATCTTGAAAAAAACGACTTTTAAGAAAGGTTAGAGTAATAAATATTGTTTTGTCCAAACTTAAGGAGTTCAGTATAATTTATCACAAAAAAAATAATTAAAAAAAAAAAAGTGTGCCTGGCTTATGGGCCTACATACAGGCCTGTCGTGCTGGGCTGGGCAGGCCTGGCCCAGGGAAATGTCGACACTCAAACTTAACTTAAGTTTACTGTTCACATGAGCCACGATCTCCCAGCTTTACATTCCCGTCACAAGTCAAAATTGCACACTCAAAATGCCATTAAGGGAAATAAACAAATAAATGGTAGTAAACAGGAAATTGCCCATATCAGCAGCCCTCCGCGTCACCCCTCTCTCTCTCTCTCTAAAAGTAATGTTTTCTCTCTCTAAAAGTAATGTATTATTCTAGTCGCTTCCCATTTTACAAGTAAGAGCAAAAGAAAGCCATCAAGACCTTCCATCTCTTTTGAATTGTCAAATCACCTTCTACAAGGTACAACTTCTTTACCAAATTATATATGTATATACGATGTGTTTTCGTTGGCTAATAACCAATACATCAAGGTTTTTTATTTTTATTTATTTCACAGTTTTTTATATTTATTAATGATTATTTCAAGGGTTTTTGTATGATTGAGCTTTGTGTACAAACTGAATCGATTTTTTCATAATTTTTTCAATATTTTGAAACCCCTTTTGTTGCTGTGATCTGACCATCTAAAATTTCAAAGAGTTTGAACAAAGTTCATTAACGTTTTAATGTTCAATCATTGATTTTGTTAGATAAGCTGATAACTGGAATGATGTGGGCAATTGTAAGGCGAAAAGTTGCTTCTGGTGGCCCTGCGTCGGTAAGTATATTACACTGCATATATACACACACATACATAAACTCTATATTGTATGTGTATATTTTATTTTCGACATTACTTAGATCTACTAATTGTTAGTACATATACATTGACATGCACATATGTGAACTGCTTTCTTAGAAATATAATTTATAGCATGTTTGTTTCAGGGCATACAACAGTCATTGGGGAGGATTCGACCTGCGGTGGTGCAGTCGCGGGACATTGCCACTACCACAGGGAATGAGGTAGCTCTGGTGGTGGTGTTTAGTTTATCTCATTTGCACTTGTTGTTTTATTTTTATAGCATTACACACACTGGAAAGTAATTAAACTTATAGGTGGTGGTGTCGTGGATCAGTCCATATTTCATTGCTGTGTTGATAAATTTGGATTTTATTTTTTAGAAACTATTATATGTTTGGGAGACATGATATTGTAGGTAGTTAACAACTTTATTTATTTGTTTGGATTTTTTTTGCCTATTGGTGGATTTTGTAAATACTGATGTTTTTGTGACAACTTCTGGGCAGCCCAAATTTCCATAATTTTTCTTGATATAAGGCATGACTGAGGTTATGGCCTTAAATAGAGCGGAATGGAAACATGGGATTCATATAGTTGACCCCAAGTAATTGGGAAAAGACTTGGTTGTTGTTGTTGTATACGGCAACTTTCACTGAATTTTTCCAAATTGTATTCTTCTGAATTGCCCAATTGTTCCGGGTAGTAAATTTATGATGATTTGGTCTGACTTCTTATCCTATAATCTATGTAGGCAATGTTTTGGGTCAGGGAAGAGCTTAAGAGTTATCTTACTATATAACATTATTTGGCCATAGCTAAAGACGCCACTTATGATTTATGGTTAAACTGAAAATTTCTGTTCATTCTCTCTATCAGCACTCACATTAGGTTTCAAAATTCTTAAGTAGTATTTTATATGTTTATAAATCCCTGGTCACATAATTGAACAGTTAATTTGAACAGAATTCGTTAATGATATTTGCATTCTATACAAAATCTTGGCTCTCCCTCTTTTTCGTCTGTTTCTTAGTGCTGCGCTTGACTTGAAACTATGGTTTGCTTGGGTTTCCTTCACCATAAAATTTACTTGATTTATTCTATGGGCACCAATGCAGACACTTAATCTTGGAGGGGGACCAAAACTTGTGCGGCACTTCTTTCAACATGGTGAGTTGGCTAACATTATTGTAACCAATTGAATGGGACTTTTTATTCTGGGTTAAAGTGACTTTTTAAATGTGAATGTGCTCTCTTTTTGTTATTGATTCCTTCATATTTCCTATACTCAGGTCGTCAGATTCATGTGAAACCTGGAAGGTTAGCAACAATTCTTTTTTTCTTTATTTCCTTCTTTTTTGGTCCTTAATTAATTTTTTAGGCTTAATACTGAGTTTTTTTAATATAATATTTTTATATGTTGTCTCTAACACATTAATTTTTGGGAGGAACTAACCAGAAGAAGAAATAAAGGGAAGAAAAAAGAGTTTTTCCATTTCTTTGAGCATCTTTATTATCTATTGTTATATAAAGTTTTTGGCATTTGTGTTTCCTTTAATATTTTAATGGTGTACAGGGATGTTGGATCATTTCGTCAAACAGATTTCCCCATCCAAATGTGGAGTAGGTCATTCTCTTCGGACAATGGTACAATATTTTCATGACTCTTTCATGAGTTTTTCTGTTCTGAACATGTGTCATATTGTTTTTTTACACGAGCATAAACTCAAAATTCTCTTTTTCTGTAATGAAGGCGACCTGGTTGATGCTGTTGTCCCTTTTATGGGTGAATCCATTTCTGATGGAACCCTATCCACATTTTTGAAGAGTATGTTGTATTAGATAACCGATTTCACTATTCTCGTGTTAAGATCCATTTATGTGTTTGTTAATTCTACATCGTAGATTTTATGTGCACTAAATCTCACTGGGACACATTCTATGATTAATTGGGTGCAGACCCTGGTGATCATGTAAATGTTGATGAGCCAATCGCCCAAATTGAAACTGATAAGGTAATTTTTAAGTCACATTAATTGGATGTTCTTGACCTTTGCAAAGTATCATATTCAGGACTAAATAGCTTTCATATGCTTCAATCAGGTGACCATTGATGTGGCAAGTCCTGAATCTGGTGTCATCCAAAAGGTAGAGTTTCAGTGGGGATTCCATCATCAGTTACTAGTTTATTTATTTTTATGCTACCTTGCTGAAATACATATGCTTCGGAACATGTTATGTTATCCATATAATATTTGTAGTTTGTAGCCAAAGAAGGTGATACTGTGGAACCAGGAACAATAATAGCAGTCATTTCAAAGTCTGGTGAAGGTGCAACACATGTGGCTCCATCAGAGAAGACACCTAGCGCCTCAGCATCTGAACAAGCTCCTGCAGAAAAGGAGAAAGTAGACAAGAAAATGCCCAAAACAGAAACATCTCCTACCAAGGAGATGCCTAAGAAGAAGCCTGCAGCACCTTCTCCACCACCTTCTAAACACAGTGCCACAGAACCTCAACTTCCTCCAAAGGAAAGGGAACGAAGAGTAAGCATCACAATTCCTAATAGTTTACTGAAGTATGCCATGACATTTTTACTTTAACTTTTAAATACACTCCTGTTTATTAATTATGCTTGCAGGTCCCAATGACAAGACTCAGAAAACGTGTTGCGACACGTTTGAAAGACTCGCAGAATACATTTGCAATGTTGACTACATTTAATGAAGTTGATATGTAAGTACATTTGTCTTATCAACTTAGAATGTCAATTGACGTGGTTACCTTTAAAATTACTTGATCTTTCTTGTGGTCATTTATGATTATCCAAGGGTTTGAATCCATCTGTATATTGTTTGAAGATATATGAAATGTGATAAAATTGTTTAAACGATTCAATAATTTTTTGCTTTCATCAGTGTAATATGCAGTTTTCCCCTGCAAAGTTCTTAATTTGACATTGACATATTGGCCTATTTAGGACTAATCTGATGAAGCTCCGTTCTGATTATAAAGATGCTTTTCTGGAGAAACATGGGGTGAAGTTAGGATTTATGTCGGGATTTGTCAAAGTAAGTATTGTCTTTTGAGGTGATTCGGCTCATTACATTTGCAGGTCGCACTTGTGCGCTTGTGCCTGCATGTTCGAGTGCCTATCTTCCAGTTCTCAATTATAATTTTTTATTTTTTATTTTCGTTTCAGGCTGCTGTTAGTGGGCTTCAGAATCAGCCGATCATTAATGCTGTTATTGATGGGGATGACATCATTTATAGAGATTATGTTGATATTAGTATTGCTGTTGGTACACCAAAGGTCTGTTGCTATTCTGATTGATTGAAATGATTTGTGACTAAATGATAGAACATCTGGGTGTCCCAAAATAATGGAATTAGTCAATTGTGATTTTTTGTTCTCTTGTTCCTTCAAAGGTATGGAGTCGGATGTCGATTTCTCAATAAGATCAATTCTTTTGATTGCATGATGGACTCCCCTAAAACAATTATCAAATTTAGACATTCGTACCCTGTCAAAGTAAGGAACCATGGCATTATATGTTTTGAATAGATGAAAAGGAACAATTTGAGCCTAATTGAGATATGAATACGCACTAGATATATAACAAGAATGATGTCGATTCATTGTTTATACGTCTACTAATAGGTTAAATAATAAAGGGTGAGCAGTGTGACAATGCAGTTTAAGCCTTATTGCAATAAGGGACAGTGTAGAAAAACCACGCTCTGTTTAAGATAGGACACCCCATCTTATCTTTATGCTTGCCAAAAATTTATGTAGTTGCTACGTACCCCCCCTTCCCTGCAACTGAAAAAGAAGTTTACTTACTAATTACCTCATAGGCATGAGGAATGGCAATGAGGCGGGGTTCCCTTCTCCATCTCTGCCCCGTTTAAGATAGGGCAACGCATCCCCTCCCTATCCCAATTTTAGAAATGATCCTCCATGCCCATAACTGACCCCAATTAGAAACACTAAGCTCGCTCTCGTGCCTCCCCCTCCCCACCCTGTTAAATCCCTAATAAAAATACGAAGGAATGATGCGGATGTTTGAGATTATGGATTAATAAAGCCGTATTATAAATACATATAAACAAATATAAATACATGTAAACAAATATACGTATATATTACAAAGTGATGTCGGAGATCAAGGCTTCAAACTGACCTAAGATATGGAAGATCTGGTTTTTGCAACTCATATCAATGGCTTTTGTTTGGCTGTAATTGGAGTCTCCACCTCCAGTAAAACGAGACAAATCCACAAACTCTGTCGAGTTTATCTTCTGCTCTTTTGTTGTGTATAACTGTACATGGGTATCGAAAGGGTTAAAGAGTAGTTGCTACTTAACCAGCCATTGGATAGAGTGATGGCCATTGGAACCCACCAAAAGAGTGACAGAAGGAAGACGAGCCCACCAGAATGGGCTGGAGATGGTGAGAGCAACGACCATCAATTAGAGCGAGAGAAAGATGGCTACGAGCCTATGCCATGGATAGGGAGGGGGAGAAGACAGCCGGAAATGGAGAGAGTGAGAAAAGATGGCAGAGAGTGAGAGAGACGGAGAGAGCCGACTGGATAATGAGATGAAAAGTAGGGTTTCAGTAAAGTAAGTTTAAGTGAATATAATTGCACTAAAGTAATTTGATACTGTAAATGGGGCAGGGCAGGTTACCCTTTCCCCGCCCTCGCGCAGATTTTTATTTTCTCCCCATCCCTGTCCCGTATCCCCCAAATCCGTCTCAATAGGGGCTGGGGCGGTGCAATTTGCCATCCTGAGGCATGGTACCTATGATTAAAGTATCAAGAATTGTTTTTCGGCTGAGATTGCAAAGGACGGTAATTACATGGTCTATCAAGCAATAGGTATTGTTTGTACAATGAACTACTTACCATGTCACAGGTTTTGTGGTGTCCATAGTTAATTTTTTTGTGAAGTTAATAAAAGCTTTATCTTGTATGCTACTCTGTAGCTTTTGCGGTGATGATGTGTTTTAAGCATTATAGCTGTGTTTTAAATACAGACGCATGCTTACAGCTTTTTCATATGATGGTTTATTGGACAGCAATCTTATTGTTTAGCTTGTCCAAACCTTAAGTAGTTTTGAAGTAATAATTATTCATCCCAACCCCCTTGCCGTCCTCCACAATTGTAAAAGAACACACTTACTTAGCAATTTAGCAAATTGCATATGGTACTAATTAATAGTATCAGGAATTGGTTTTGCTGACACTCAGAAGAAATGTTTTGTCATGGTTTATGAAGCAATATATATTGTTTGTACAATAAGCTTCTTACCATATCACGGCTTTTGTGGTTCCATAGTTAATAAAAAACTTTATTCTGTGTCCCTCTCCCTCTCTCTCTATATATATATATTTATATATATCACACATTTATGGAATAAAGAAAGGATATTACGGTTGAAGATGGTTTCAGACTTCCAAGCAACCCACTCCCAAGCATGCATTATTATCATCAACTTGCCTTCCCAGCTAAGTCAGCTGGCATCTTCATTCTACTTTCCATGTTTTACACATCCAAAACTTTGAGGAGGAGACTTACCAAAAGTGGGTTCTCGTGCCTTAGGAAGTGGAGGAATTATACATGATATAGTGTAGGTCCCAGGTGAACTAGGTTAGATGAAAGTCAATGCTGACTTGTATAAGATAGAGAGTGCAGCAGTGCCAAGCTCACCACTAACTCCTCAAGATCAGCTGTTTGCCCCATGAGTGGTCCAAGTGTAAGAAGGTCTGGATCTATTTCAGTGTTCTCAAGGCTGTCTAGGATAGAATTCTGTTCAATTTGTTATAGGGTCTGTTCTGGTTCTTAAAAGCCCTAAGCTCCTTGTAAATGAATAGTTGTGGCCAATTCATAGTTAATGGTTGAAACCAAGGCAGTGCTTATGTTGTGATGGGGTCTCAAGATGTCATGCCAAGTGTCCCTACCATGGCCCAACGGGATGCTTTCATGTGCACCAGGCTGCAAGAATGACATTGCGGCTATTGAGGTGAAAATGCGAGGCCTGGTAGCCATTCTGGTGTCAGTGGGGTAGTCCATGGAAGAGTGCACATGTAATAGGTATAGTCCAATAGAATGAGGCCATGTCATATAGTAGGTATGTTGTCTGAAAGTGATGTAATGTCTATATCTAAGTCACGTCAAGGTGGAAGTGTTGACCTTGAGGGAGGTCATCTCTGAAACCCTTGGAGTTCAGCAACTGAGCCAAATACCCCTCAAATCCTAGTGGGTTATGGTCTGACTGCGTATTATGAGGTGGGCCACATTGATAGCCATGCATCAAGCTATGAGTCGTTGTCTATGATGATAGATGGGTATGTAAAGGGGCTTCATCTCACTTGTCAACCTGTTCCATGATGGCTTGGTGAAAAAGTGCTGAGTTGTCTGGTGCTTTCTTTTGGTAGCTTCGCTGCAAGTGTTGATCATAGAACAAGGGAGATTTGAGGTTGAGTTCACTGGGTTACGAGGTCAGGCTACTGGTCACTTTGATCTTGCTGCTGGTAGTCCTTTAGTGCTAATCTTAATTTAAAGATGAATGTCCTTTGTGAGATTTCAGATAACCATAATGAGGTTGGAGAAAGGGGACAATGTGAGGTTCATGAAGTGAACTCTATAATATTTTAGCATCCCTTGAACACAGAGTTGGTTGTCATCATTTTTACACGTCATTGGATGATCACCGAATTTAATGAGCCCTCTAAATTTCTGGACCTATTTAGTGAGTGGTCTAACAGAACTCGCTGATGAGATGTTATCATGAAAAGATGGAACATGGCTCAAGGTCAGTGACTTGGAAACTAGCATGTGCAATTGGATTCAGTTTGACTGAGTAACTCAATTTTGACTTGATAAGTCAGGCTACTTTCTCTCTAGGCTCTAGATTTGCCCTTTCTGCCATGGAATTGAAGCTTTGGAGAGATGCAGCTGTATGGTAATGGCCGGTTAGCAATTTTACTGAGGAGGCTGAAAGCTAAGTTCTGTGGCAGTGAGGGAATGCTAAGAGCGCTGTTGCTGAAGAAGGAACTTGACTTTGGTGAGAGTCATATACGAACCAGCAGGCATCCCTTGTCTAGACGTGGCCACAACGTTTATAGAGAGACTTGCAGGCCAGACTGAGGTAAGTGGCATAGTTGATGATGCTGTAACAATCGTGTAGGCTTGGTAAACACAGTATGAGCTGCCATGGCAGCCTATGTGACTGCCAATATGTTTGGTGTTGTTAATATACTGTATTGTTGTACTGTGTAGGTTACTCCCGGTGTTAAAAGGACATTGGATGAGGCACCACTTGACAGAACTTAAGTGATTGATTCATTTATTTTTTTATTTTTTTGGGTTTCTAAATGTACTGTAGAGGCCTATTATAGTTTATAGGTGAGATCAGGGCAGTGCTCATGCTAATGTGGGGTCTTATAATATATCTCTCTTTCTTTCGTTTTTTTTTTTTCCCCCCTAAATGAAGAAAATTTTATAAAATATAACAAATTAGTACAAGAAGAAAGTAAAGGCATTCCTTCACTAAAACATGCAAGGACATCTAGGGCAGTGCAGACAAACCTGCAACAACCTCAAACTCCTATGAACTTAAAAAATCTTGGCAAATTCCAGCTATATCAAGAACATCCCAAACAATGCATTTAACTAGAAATGAAGGAGACCTAATAACATCAGTATGAAGTCTACCATTCCTTTCATTCCATAAGTAATATATAGCAGCTGTAAACAACATCTTGTGATCCTTGCTTCTGCAAGATTTAATGTGAAATTGAGTTTGCAGAGCTGCAGGAACTAACAGAGTGCAACTTTTGAACACTCCAATGAAACATACCAGCCAAACCACACCAGACCTCCCAAGCATACACACATTTCACAAACATGTGATCGACATGTTCTTCACTACTGCCACACAGACCACATCTGGAAGCTAAGGAGATACCTCTACGCTGCAAGTTTGCACCAGTTAAGACAGCATTTTGAATAATCAAAGCACTATACACAGACCATCGAGGTCTACCCCCATTCCAAGCCAAACCAAACCAAGAAACTTCAGGATTTGAATCCCTACAAGAGTCCCAAGCAGCTTTAAAGGTAAAAGATTTGTCGTTCCACAATAACTGGTCCTCTCCACCATAAATCCTAAATTGCTTCAAAAATTGTTGAACCACAAGTGGAATATCATCAAACTGCCACTGATTTTGAGCAATAAAACTGCTCAACTCAATTTGTTTATTAGTGGATACCTGTCTCAAGGTTCTATAACTAAAAACCTCTGATAGTGGGGTCTTATAATATCATGTCTTGTGTCTCTATGGTGGTCCAATGGGTTGGCATCACATGTATTGTGATCATTTGATTTGAACCTAGATAGGTTGGCATTGTTGCTATAAAGGTGGAAAAGTGATGGGTTGGCCAGTGCAGCGCTAGGGTAGCTTCGAGCAGTGAATCGTCTTAAGCAAGCTACCAGAGTAGTTTTGGTGGTCCAATAAAATAGTCGCCATGTATAACAGGTATAATCGAACAAGGTATTGCAATGTCATATTGAACATTTCTAATTTGAAATTCATGTGACCTCTCTTTTGTAGTCAAGTTGAGGTGGAAAGTTAGACTTTTGAAGGAGGTTGCTTCAGTGAGTCCTGGACTTTAGTCACCGAGTCAAGCATCCCTATAAAATTCATTGGGCTATGGCTTGACTGCATATCACAAGGTTGGCCACACTGATCACTGCACACTGAAGCTCCCTGTTGTGCTCGCTCCCAAATCCATGTGTTGTTTAGCTGTAGAGTGAACGATGGTGTAGCATGGGTCTGGCCCACTAGTCAATTTGAGAATTATCATATGGAGTGCAAACATGGTGAGGTGGATTTTTGCCCCACCATGGTGGAGTAGTGGGGTGAGGTGGAGAATGTCATTATAATTGCTGGTGAGATATGCAGTCAGGTCTCTTCGAAGTTCTCTTGGGATGACATGCAAAGTCTTGAAATGGTGAAAAGCTTTATCTGTGGTGCTTATGTGGCAAACCCACCACCAATAGAAAAAAATAATAATAATAAAGAAAGAAGAAGAAGCAAATAGTGAGGTTAATTTTATTTATCTTTCATGCATTTTGACATGATATTCATTAACATTTCTAGACCAGCGAAGTGAACCTTTGTGGTTTGCGCCACTTGTGCATTTTGATGAAAAAATAATTCAGTCATCATCCAACTAAAATACTCTTGTTCATGTTGACATTTTTTTTGCCCATACTTTCTTGGAAGTGCTGCGAATTTTCTTGGTGTATGATCTTTTCTCAACACTTTCCATGTGTTTTGATGTAGGTTTTTGTGTAACTCTTTTCATCCTAAAAATTTACTCATAAATCATAATTCTTTTAGATTTTCAATTTACATTAACCTTAACTGGTAAGCTTGAAGCTGTTTTTGTTTTCATCTTTGGTTGGACGCTTATTTTGTTTTATTCAACTATTGTTGGCCATACACCGCCTCTATAATAAATTTATATTGACAAATCATTTGTAGGAAATTTTCTGTGTTCTCTCAATATTGTATATTGACTTAAGTTATTTGATTGTGAGGAGATCCTTCCTAGTATTTTTGGCCCATTAGGAGATCTCTGTAATTCTGTATAAATATACCAAGGGAATTGACAAGCTTTACTTTCCTTCTTCCTCTGCCAAGTGGGCATGTGGTGCTTTTTCTTTTTTCTTTTTTTTTTTTTCTTCCTTTCTTCCCTACTTTTTTACTTCTTTGAAAGAGTTTGCCCGCGTGTGTGTGTGCGTGTGCAGTCAAACCACATTTCTTTCTTATTTGCTTCGCTTTTTGTTATTGTTTTTTGTTTTTTAAACTTTAACACAACCAGCGTCCCCTCTTGTCTCGTGAATAATTCTTCTCTTTGGTCTATCTGTTGATTTTGATAACTGCCATAGGCATTAAAGCAATTGAGTCTCTTCCTCTGTGTTTGTTCTTCAAGGGCCTTGTTGTTCCGGTTGTTCGTGGTGCCGATAGAATGAACTTTGCTGACATAGAGAAGGAGATCAACACCCTTGCAAAGAAGGCAAGTGATGGCTCCATATCAATTGATGAGATGGCTGGAGGCTCATTCACGATATCTAATGGTGGCGTTTATGGAAGCCTTTTAAGTACCCCAATCATTAACCCTCCACAGGTATGATGCTGAAAAGACCTGGTTTCCTTATTTCCTTTTCTGATAAACTCACCTTGTGCATGTACTTGACACATTTCTGCCAGATTATTTTGTTAACCACTTGATAAACAGTTAAAAGACCTGGCTGTTCCAATGATCTGATTGTCTAAATTTGGATCAACTTGGTACCAAGGAAAAACATTTTAAATGGTACCTTAAAACTACAGTCATGACTACAGAACAAGATTGATGTATGCTAAAAATAAAAAAAATAAAAAAATAAAAAAAATAAAAAAATCCAACGTTGTCCAAACCAAAGAAAAATGTCTATGTTACTCACATACGCATATGTGTTTTTGCTGGAATGAGCTCTTCATCTAGGTGGGAATTTGCAGTTATCCAGTAGTTAGCATGTGCAATATGATTGTAATGATACATGCTGATCCAACTGCTGAGGGATTTCATTTTTCATCTGAACTGAATAGCTGCGTTATTTATTTTCTTTCTATAATTTTTGCAGTCAGCAATTCTGGGCATGCATTCAATAGTAAGCCGTCCAATGGTTGTTGGGGGCCAAGTTCTTCCGAGGCCAATGATGTACATTGCACTAACTTATGACCATAGGCTGATCGATGGAAGAGAGGCTGTCTTCTTCTTGCGCCGCATCAAAGATGTTGTGGAGGACCCTCGGAGGCTGCTTCTTGATGTATGAAGGTGCCAGAGACAACAGTTGTTTCTTCTTTGTTGGTATACTTGAAATTTGGTAAACTCGGTTTTTCTGAAGATGAATAATGCATATATCAACTTAGAACTTCATGGGGTTACATTGTTGTTCAACCCATCATCAAGTTTTTTCTGTTGCGGCAAACAATGATTATGCAAGCAAATGGGAGAGTTAAATTAAGTGTTTACATATTTCTTGGTTCTACATGAAGTGTTATAGTTTGTGTTTGTTAGGAGGCAAAAGGAACTCGAATGCAACATGAATTATTGTAGTTGGGGTACGTTTTAGCCGTGAGAGGGCCTTAAATAATGTGGTTACCGATGCAAATTTTTTCGTATACTTGCTAATGAAACCTGTTGCTTGTTACCTTATTTCATGAAAATAGAGAGTCAAAATCAAGTCCTTTCATGTGTCTGCTCGAAATTAACTTAATACTTTCCAGTCAATTGTATGACCACAGGTGAACTTGGTTGGGATTGGAAACGAGAGTGGAGATAAGGAAGGAGTGAGATTTTTTAAAACACATCTTGATTATGTCTGGTTTTGAGAATGATTTTTAATTCTAATGGAGAAAATTTGTAGATCTTTATATATTTTCACTTGGTGAAGGGATTTTAATTGCTAAGTTGTGTTTCTCGTATCTTCTTCCTTGCCAAACATCGTCAGAAACAGGTCTACGTTGACTAACTTGACTGAACACCAGCTTCAAAGATATGATTATGCATTTGATGCTTATATTAGTTGCATAATTTTGCCTCCTGTTTCAATCAATTGTCTACTGGGCAGGACTGGATCAGAATTGCTCGCTTTTAGAACTTTGGATATGGAGTTGGGTCGTGATAAAAGAATATCCCTCCAACAGCAACCAATATTGAAAGTTGGTACTTTCACTAATAAAAATAAATAAATGAATAAAATAAAATAAATGTAGGATGTCTCTAGAGCAATCGCTTGCGTGCATTTATATATACTACGTATATAGTTTGTATTTGGGAGTATGGACTGATGTTAGGAATTGAAAAAAAATTAGTTCAAATTTTAAATTTTTTTTTTTTCTTCGATTTCAATTTCAAGGCTTCGATTTCATGTTTTCAATAAAGAGCATTTCCAACACCAAAAGCATATGTTCACAAAATTACCTAGCTATTCAAATACATATATTACCAATAATAATAAGGCTTAAATGCAAGAAACACCCCTCATATTCAAAATGTGCAAAAAAAACCCCTACAGTTTCTTTTGGTGCACAAAACCCACCACTCTTTCTTTTGGTGCACAAAAACTCCCCTACTCATCCATTTTGACTAATTTTTTTTTTGGCAAATTACATTTAACACCCACGAGGTTTTCATTTTGTACACCTAAATAAAAGTATGCGCGATATATTCATCAACCACCCTTATGGTTTCACTCTTAAGTGATGCATCAAATCAATGTAGGGTAATTATACTTTTGGACATAAATAACATTGATATTGTGAGAAGACCAAATTGTCCATTAATTGAATTGAAATTACATCATTCAAAAAAGACAAAAGTGCCCTTTCTCTTTATCTCTACGTCCAGCCATGCAAAACTTTTTCCTCCACTATTTGAATTAAGTTTTGCATGGAACATCAATGGTCCATCAAACCAATGTCTTACACTAACTCATGTTTTGCATGTAACTGCACAGCTTAGGCCATGTTAGGAATAGCCAAGACAATGGTCATCAGAAGCATATTTATATTTTGTGTTTCAACTATGATCATGTTATATGCTTGTGTATCCTAGTGACAGGGACGTTGGTCATGTAGTGTGATATTTTTTGAAAGTGTGATACAATATATTATATTATCCTTACTAATTCACCAACATATACAAACCAACAAGTCATAAATATTATGTCATATAAGTTCTCAAGTACCAATGTCAACAAGCATATTCATGTTCCATGCATGCTGATTTACAAAACAAGGTGCCCACAAGCATATTCATGTTCCATGCATACTAATTTACAAAACAAAGTGCTCATATAACTTATACACATGTTTACTGTCCATACACATAAACTAGCGAGGCAAAAAAGAGCATATTTAAGTTAGCAAGTACTGCCCACGTAATAAAAAATAACAGTGAGCCCATCAAGAAGGGTATAAAAACGTAAGTTACTCTTATCAACTTCCTTCCAAAATTTTCTTTTGAATAATGGTTAAATGCCTTAAGGTTATATATGTAAATTAACTTTCATATTCAATTTGAACCTTATGTTATATACGTAAATAGTCAATTTGGACCTTACTGTTATATTTTTCATACTTCTATGTAAACAATGTGACGTTAGATGTAATTTGCCCTTCTTGTTTTTTTTTTAATTGAAATTCCAAAACTGCCCTTCGGCCATGCCCAGGACGTATCCCAGTTCCGGCCTCCGGCCATACCCATCCCCAAATTCCGAATCTGTTCTTGCCGCCGGAGCGGCACAGCCGCCGTTCAGATTGTACCAACCAGACCTCAGATCAGCCGCGGTTCCTCGTTGAGCAACCTCATCGCCGGAATCGCGCCTTATTGACTTGTAATTGAGTTTTTGCCTTATTGACATTTACAACAATGCTTTTGCGGCCTCTTTTTGCGTTGTAAGAAGGCGAAGAACCGTGTAGCCTTAGAACGGAATATTGAAATACAACCATTTGGCTTATTATGCATCTGGTTGAATATAAAGCAAATATGTGTAAAGCAAATATGTGTAGGATCATCTATTAATCGTACACTAATTTGAAGTTTATTGTGTAGATCATTGACTTGTATGCATTAGCTTAGGAAGAAAATTTTAAAGATTAGCAGGAATTTAAGAGAAACAGTAGAGAAAAGCGATTTGGTCAAATTTGATGGCTGATATCATAGTGTTGTAATTGTAAAAAAAACATTGTCTAGTCAAAAAGATAGAAATCGATTAGCACTGATTGATATTGATGGCAAGCATCACTGATGAATTAGATCTTTGCGTTTAGATTGTTGTACACGCAATTTGTTTATATTTACACAAATGCATCCGATATAGTTGTCGTATTAACAAAAGCATGGTGAAATTATCTCTCCAATATCTCGTATAGTGTTGTCAGACTTCCCGCGATGAGGTTACACGGCTATGAGGTTGCTCGACGGGAACCGCGACTTATCTGAGGTCTGGTTGGTACTACCTGAACGGCGGCAAGAACAGATTCGGAATTTAAGGGTGGGCATGACCGGAGGCCGGAACTGGGATACGATTCTGGGCATGGCCGAAGGGCAGTTTTGGAATTTTTATAAAAACAATTAGTCAAAATGGACGGGATTATTTTTGCACCTTTTGAATTTGAGTGTTTCTTGCCCTTAAAGCCTAATAATAATAATAACAATAATTGCAAACAATGTACTACGCAGTTGGATAAAGTGTAAAAACATCAATGGCAGTCAGAGTAGCCAGACAGAACAAAGAAGTGATGCATAAATCAAGCATTGATTTTACTTCCACATGCAGGGGTCAAGTCTTTTTGTGCGCGCGCTATGAAGCACTTCAGTGCTCCATGTAGCAAGTAAGGAGCAGACAGTTCTCATCATAAAACAACTATATATTTTTTTGATAACGAAGAATCAACCCAACCGCTTGTCACACTTGGGAGGACTGAGAGATAATACCGAACTTCTGACTTTATTTGAACGAAATACCTTCAGACTCCAATCAAACATCTCAAATTCTACCTCCTAAACTTTAACCATAGCATCAATAATATATAAGATAATGTGGGTATACTTTCTCTTCAAAAATTAATCAAAATGAACATCACGGAAAAATCCAAAGGAGATTAAAATTGAGAGCAGTATGTTCAATAAACATGTCAGGAACCGATAAGAAAATCTAGGATTTGAGATACCCCATAGGAATTAAGATGGCTTGTAGTATTTTGTAGGTACAAAAGGCATTTTTGTGACAGTTCCCTCGTATGATTTTCCACGAATCACAATCTTAGCTTTGGTGCCTGCCTTGTGGTATCCAGACTTCACGTACCCCATGGCAATGTTCTTCTTGAGGCAAGGACTGAATCCTCCACTGGTGACTTCCCCAATGTTTTGTCCTTGGTCATCCTGAATCTCACTGTGGCTTCTGGGAGGTGGGCCTGAAGAGAAAAAACCGACACGCCTGATTTTTGGACCCTCTGCAATCTGTTTGAGTATCACCTCCGCACCAAGAAAACCACCCTCGGCTCTTCTTCTCTTCCCTACTGCCCATGTAAGCCCTGCCTCTATAGGTGTTGTGTGTTGGTCCATGTCATTACCATATAAACACAGTCCAGCCTCGAGCCGGAGACTGTCTCGAGCGCCCAGCCCCGTCAACCTTATCTTCCCTTCAGATTTCTCCAAGATTGCTTTGGCAAGATCCACTGCGTGTTCTGAAGGAACTGAAATTTCAAATCCATCTTCACCAGTATACCTGAAAATCTCGTGAAAAGGCACAAAGATAACCATTTAATCTTCATAGCTCACTCCTACAAGATTCTAAGAGGGGAGGAAATTAAACAATTGGAAAACAGATATTCACACCACCCACCCACCCCCTCCCACCCCCCCCCCCCCCCCCCCGGCGCTTCAACTTTTGATAGGCTCTGAGAAGCCGAATTGGGGCTTGCTTTGACTTTTCAGGATCATGATAAACCAGCATACGTTAATTCGCAAACATAGTTTATGTTATTTTTATAACAAAATGGTACACCTATACATTAATTTGATGTTCACCTAATACCAAGGTAACGAATAGATCAGGTTAAACTTGGCTGGCCTGATATTCTGGAATTCTGACACAGCATCCTCTCAGCACCATGGTTAGCTTGCTATTAGGCTATCAGCTAGTGTGAAATGTTTCATAAAAATGGGATCTCTAAGATCCATGGAAGACATAAATCACATCAAAGCACCCAAGAGTCTGACGTGAAGGACAACCCAACCAGTGAAGCAGTCTTGTATTGTGTTCAGACCCCAGTCCTCGATTTTAAACACTGACTGATGGATATAACTCAGTTCAACCTAGCTCCTGACTCTACAAGCATCCAAAGAAAGAGGTGACCTCAAGCACATTTCCTAACTTGAAAGCCTGGAGGATCAGGCCTTTACTAATGAAGTTTGGACAATGTTCGAACGCATCATGTGATAAGCTTTTAATCTTGTGAACCAAATTACATCCTCATATTAGTCCCTCTATACTTCGAGTTCAAGAAGATGTCTAACAGAAACAGGATATATGCGTAAGTTGAGATTATAATTCTTATAACCGAGTATTAGCTTTAGAAGATTGTCAATATGATTTCCTTAACCATTGGCCTCACAGTATGGGAAACATATGAAGACTGAAGCATTAATTCTTTAATTATGTAAAAAAAAAAAAAGAAGAATAAAAAGAGTGAGGGAGAGACAGAGAGATGAAAGGGTTCAGCAATATGAAATGAAATAGACCCTATCAGGAACAGTTATCTTGTAAAAATGGAAATTGTGTCTGATAAGTTGTAAACAAGAATTGGTTAAATTAATATAAGCTTGTTTCACATAGCATCTTGAGGTCCAAATAAGGAATGGTTTCGACCAATGTTCTTGAGCTCGTGATGGCATTCACGGGCACAGGACACATTCAAACCTCAAGTAGAAGAGAATGGCTGTACAAGTCATACCCTGCACCAAGTGACTATAATGATAAAGCCAAAACAGTAAACAGCTCAAAAATCAGATAGCAAAGTCATCATTGAATCTGCTCGCATGCATACTCAATTGTCATGTTCAAAAAGAAAACTAAAAAGCAACATACCCGGTCCTAGTGATAAAGCAGTGCACCCCATTGATATCTAACATCCGAAACTCCCCGAAGTATATCTTGCTCAAATCCTCTTTTGTCAGGTGTTGAAGAGATGGGGCAGCCAGAGGACCCTGCAGCAGACGCAACCAAGAGAACTTGATATAAATGTCACTACAAGGGTAGATGCACTAAAATTAACTCATATGAAACTATGACACCACTCATTCTCATTAGCATAACAGTATCAATGAGTTCAAAACTTGTTCCCAAAAATAGTGTCATCAGACTTCAACTGAAAATCAGACAGTCTATTCCCTATTTACTGTATGTTATCCTCAGACTTCAAGAAAATCTTCATGAGAAGAAGCAGGCACAAAGTATGAAGCAATTAAAAATGACAGAAAGCACTTCCTTCTGTCCTCCATACACTGCCAACATGTTTTAGCACGCCAACGGAGAAAATACTGATATAAATCATATCCAGGAAACTGTTTATGTATGAAAGTTAAAACTAAATCAATAAAATAAAACAACGTGCATGAACACGTTTAACTCCAAGCCCTCTGTAAGGGTAAGGCCTTATGCATTGGAAAACATAAGAAATATATCCTTACCTACTACAGATCCTACATTAGATGTATATAATATCTAGTCAAACCAACTAGACAAATGAAAGAGATCATCTTTGCAGCAGGTGAAAAGTATATAATATGACTTAACAAAAACAAATAGAGAGAGAGAGAGAGGTATATTGTGTGTTTTTTACTTACCCAAAAGAAAATGAAAAAAGGAAAGACACAATAATGGCGGGTCTGTGAATCCCATTAAAATAAAATTTTATTATAGTGTCATATTTTTAATTTTTAAGAAAGGATAATCGTTATAATTTTGTATAGCACAGGAAATGGCATCCATCACTTAAGAAATAAAGAAGATTTGTGATAGTGGCATTTCACAAGATCCAAAACTGATTCCATGCCATTAGTTACTTGATGGCAACCTTGTTTATTTAGAGACTCAATTCATGTAACTCTCAAACTTTAAAAGCCATGGCAAGATGATAGAGTCACTTAGTTTACATGATGTCTAAATAATTATAATTATGTGAATTTGAGAATTGACCTGGAGAGCTAGTAGAGATCTCTCATCATGGATGTGCCATGAGACATCCCCACCTTTGGCCTTGAATGCCTTCATATGCTCCTCGATGTGTGCAAGATCCTTATCTCTGCATCCTGCATTCACAACCAAGTATATGTGATCATCCTTCACCTTGGTGATCACTGAATCATCAATTGCCCCTCCCTTTTCATTGGTAAAGACAGTCAAGGTCCCATTCCCATGGCTAAGCCCAGCAACATCAGCAATGACAAGTTTTTCAAGAAATGGGATGCAGTCTTTCCCCTTGAGGCTCAGCCCACACATGTGAGAGACATCAAAGAGGCTACCATTTTCCCTACAGTTGAGAGTGGAGTCCATGATGGAGTCCTTGTACTGAATGGGCATGCCCCATCCAGCAAACGGCACCATCTTCCCACCGTTGGCAACATGGAAATCGTATAGAACAGTCTTCTTGAGCTCAGACTCTGTGGCAAAGCATCGACGAGGTACAACCTTCTTATCAGCCTGAACAAGACGGCGAGTGATTGACTGCCCAAGTTGCCACAATCCTCCTCCTCTCATCTTCCTATACATATGTATCTAATTGAAATAACAGAAGGATTGACAAAATAAGAACAATAATATTCAAACGAGTTTCTAACAATAACCCAAAAATCTCTTGGCAAATAACAAATTCTCACATTTTTCGGAAATAACTCAAATCAAATCAGACAGTGATCTATAAATTGTTATCTGAAGGTAAATGCTGACTCATTGAAGAGCGATGAGGGAATTCTCATACTTTTTCGAAATTAAAAAAAAAAATACAATATACAAAAATCAAAATTTATGGCTTGTCAGTAAAGAACTATCAAATGCTAATGAACACATTGATAACACAAACACATTGAAAAGGGTTATTTTACATCCCAATAAAGTTTGAAGAGAGGAAAATCGAGATTGCATTACATTTGATTGTATAGGTTGACAGTGTTAGTAGTGCAATACTGTAATACAGTGATATATCACCACCATTATCAAAACAGATTTTTTTTTTTTTTTAAAGTAAAAAAGCTAAAACAAAGTAGATTCTTTTTCATTTTTGTAGAAAGTTATAATGAAAATAACAGTAGTCATGTACAAGGAACAAGCATATAAGTCCCAAAAATTATGTTTTACTTCATATCCTAATACTCATCCTTATTGTTCAGCATTAGACATTCACTAATGGGGTTTAATTTTCTTGTTCTATCTTTTAGATAAGTAATGAGATCAATCTAAATTGCTCATTAGGACCAATTAAAGTACAGTGAGACACAACTTCGATTTATTGCTATAACAGTTTCTACAAGAATTGCATACAAGTTTAAGTAATGGGATCTATCTCCATTCATTAATGTAGTGCTATATATATATATAAAAAAAAAAAAAAAAAACAGACAGACCCAATTCAAATGGTATGCGAAAACTCATTACACTGATTAAATCCTGCAAGATCAAACAAATCTAATAGCAAAACCACAGACAAAGAAACGATCTTGCTCTGGGTATTGGGAAATTCATAGAAAAATCTTAAGAAGACCAACAAATTCTCTTAAAAGTGTGACATTTACTATTAGAAACAGAATAGTAGTCAATAAGTAAGTAAATCAGATGCTAATCATAAATCTAGATCTCAATAACCTTGTCCAACAAATCACATAGAAAGTAGAACATAAAAATGAAGAATTGAAGCCCAGATGCTCGATGAATTTAAACCAACTGATAAATGCAATTATACACATGTATATATACATATATATATATATATAGAGAGAGAGAGAGAGAGGGGCTTACAGAACAACTCTTCTTCTTTGTGCGCTTCTACAAAAGGAGCAAATCTGAGAGCCTATATGAGCATGTGTTCGCACTAAAGTGAATAAAAAAGGATAAGTATATGTGTGTGTGTGACTGTAAAGATATTAAAAATCTATTATATGTATATATAAGTCCTAATATTTATATAAAAAAAGTTGAGATGTTTGGTGGTATGTGGTGGGTGGAGGAGGGTTTATCAGCCAAATCGACACAACACCACCCCATCGCTAGTGAGTGGTGGGCAAGGATAGACTCCCATCTCTTTCTATTTAGAGGTGGTTGGTGCGAACAGAAACAGTGTGAGATGGTAATTTTTATTGATTTATTTATTTATTGATTTATTTATGTGCTCCAGTGACAGCAGTGTGCCAAATCAATAGTAAATAATAAAAATTGACTCTATTCAACAAATGCCACTGGAAAAAATTAGTCAAAAGTATAGAGGATCTTGATTATTTAAAGAGCAATTATACATATGGGAAAGATGAGGTGTCATGTGGTCGGATAGAAGTCTTCACAAAAAAATGTATCAAATATATATTTAATATATTTTTTTTCTGAAGATTTCGATCCGACCACACATGACATCTCATCTTGATACATTTTTTTCTGAAGACTTCGATCCGACCACACATGACACCTCATCTTTCCCATATACATACACACACACACATATATATATATATATATATATATATATATATATATATTTGATACATCCGACCACACATGAGGTGTCATGTGTGGTCGGATCGAAGTCTTCAGAAAAAAATGTATCAAGATGAGGTGTCATGTGTGGTCGGATCGAACTCTTCAGAAAAAAATGTATCAAATATATATATATATACATTGATAGAAAAATAATTTTGTAGGTCTCAATTGAGTCGACTTTTTATTAAGTGTACTTTTTTTGTTCTAAACTTTCAACCAAACTCTATATATATCATTTGGCTATTGTCTATTAACTAGTATTTATTTTGTAATTTATAGACTAGTGCCCATTAATTTGTATTTATTTTATTTACTGAAAAAAAAAATTGAATTTATTTTGCAATTTTGTTTCCATAAAAGTGTATATGGAGTTATTTTATTTTATTTTCTAATCTTCTATTGGTTTGAGATTTTGAGTCAAAGAACTTACACCATCCTAAGTCTTGGAAATTAATTGGGGGCGAAATCTCAAATACCTGAGTTATCCGGAAAAAGAAGGAAAAAAAAAAAGGAAAACAACTTACACTATCATTTGTCATTTTATCACCATCATTTGTCATTTTTGGGTAAACTATCATCTTGGACTCTGAGTGGTAGAGTCCATCTTAAATATAACAATACTGATAAATATAATATAATAGGAGTCTGAGTGTAAATATGATATTCTCACGTGGTGATGGACATAGAAAATTTTGTAAGGGGGCGGCCTTTTAATTTATTGGGACAAACTTATATGGTGCTCAATTTTTATAATTTCAATGGGATTTTCTTCATAATTTTTCAAAAATTTAAAGTATAAAATGCAAAAATAAAAAAATAAAAATAGTGGGAGTGAATTGTAATTTTAGTGGGGGCATCTTCATAAATTCTTAAACACTGAAATATAAAATGTAAAAAAAAAAAAGAAAAAAGAATCAAGTGGGGGCGAATTGTAATTTTAGTAGGGTATCTTCATAAATTCTAAAACAATTGAGGTATAAAATGAAAATATAAAAAAATTCAGCCGCACTAGTCCTATGTTGGGTACGTGCTTGTTCTCACGTCTCATTGGACATGTTTTGAGTTTTATTGTGCAAATATATATCTTCACCGTATATAAAACTCGTCCGTAGGGAAAAAGAAAAAAAGAAAAAAGAATTGTCTACAATATTTCTCCAAATCACAAAAGTTGCTTAATAATAACATTTTGCATGGTTTAAGATTTTTTTTCGATTGTATTAGTGAAGTAATATCATCAACTGAGTAAATGTTGGTACGAAATTATATGACTCATATATCATAAATAACGAAGTATTAAATATGAAGGAAATGAAAATAATATTAATAATAATAATAATAATCTTAAATATTTGGAAGCTTTATTCCTGCAAGTTCAATTTTCCAAAAGCTTATTCCCAATTTCTTGGTACAGACTCACACACATAACCAAACAAGGAAATCACATGCATTAGCAAACACAAACCACTATAACTAACTACATCCATCATCATAAAGTCACTAGTAATTGTGAACTCAAGGCAGTGCAGTAGTGAGTCCAGGTTTTAAGCTTCCACCAGGCACACCACCACCACCACCACCTTCAAGGCCTGACCCAAGCCCACCACCATTTGCAGCCCCAGCCGAACCAGATCCAGCACCAGCACCCCTACCAAACCCGCCCGATCCACGGCCATAAGCAGCTCCACCGCCACCCAAGCCGGTGCCAGGACCACCTCTGAACCAGCCGCTGCCGCCGCCTAGCCCGCCTTTGTAGCCAGGAAAGTGGTGGTAGAATGCCTTGTCCAACTCACCTGCATTAGTAATAGTACCCTTTTCCAAGACAAGCTTCCTAGCACTAGTGATGGTGCAAGCAAATGCACCAAGAAGAAGCAGAATCATGAGAATCTTACTAGTCATTTTTTAATTAATATCAGTGATATACGAGCTAGGTTAATTGATTGTGAATTGGGGTGGTAGAGAAGTTAAATATATATATAGATGTTTGAGATACATATATCATTCATAATACGTGTTTGGCCAGACTGTTTAATTGGTCTAACTGCTTCCATTCCGAAATTTACCCACCATGCCATCACTCCATCTTCATGATCGACCTAATTCTGTCCCAAACATAGACTTAATATATTAACTGTACAAGCAGTTTTCTTTGGCCATTTATATATATGGTTAATTTTATCTTAATTAAAATAAATAAAAATTATGTACCTCTAAATGGAATAAAGGTACAAAATCATAGTTCGCCGTATAATTTGATACGCGATATATCGGCCTATACGCGGTCCTTTTTAAGTTTGGTACGCGACTCGTCTCAGTCATTTTACACTGATTGTTCGAGTCTGTTCACTGCGATCACGACCGTGACTGATACTGCACTAGAGCAAAAAAATCCCAAGTTCATGGATGAGTGGGCCAGGTATGGGCTACACTTTGTTGGGCTTCATACTTTGTTTGTAGTTCTAAATTGATATGGTGAACTTTTGTCTTGGTTAGTGCATATGGGCTTGCTTGCCATTTTTTTTGTGGGCCTTTGGTATGCTCCAAGTAATTTGTATATTCTCATATCTTCTTAACTATTCAAATACAAAAAATAAATAAAAATAAAAAAATAAAATTGTTGTAGAGACAATTCTGAAATTATTTATCAAGAATAATATAGTGCCGGATGTATAAGCATTTACAGTCAGCATAATTTGACTTCAAAATGTCATTTTTCTTCTCAACTACTTAGGATTTGCTACATTAATTCTATTTTACTAACATATTATAATATTCTCTCTTACTTAACTCTACTCATGGTTAATTTTGATGTTCTCGCTCATAATTAATTATATATACTTTGATCTATCCATATCAGCACATTAAGGAAAGGTTGCAAGCTCTAGTCTGGTTTTTCTATGATTATGTGCATAGAATTTAACCAAGAGTGAGTTCAAGAGAGACATCATCATCGTTCACATCTGTGGTCACACATGCTTCATAAGTTCTGAATCCAGATGACCCTCCTGCAGACATTGCGCCACCAATTTCTCCTACTGCAATCTCTGCTAATTTCTCCAAATTTTGATATTCATTCACGTAAGTCGTTGCATCGACTAACATGTTTTCTTTCTCATTCATTTCCTGAAATGAAAAACGAAAACGAGAATAATAAGAATACATTACAAGAATAGTAAGATTCATCAATTTTGACTCGATGAGGAGTATTCATTTTGGATCCTCTCCATTTTGTTTTTATCTCTAAGCTATCATCTAACGGTTATGAATCTGTTAGTCATTATTTTGTTAGGATTTATATATATAACCATAATTAGGCAAGGATCTAGTCTATATTGCCCCCACTGAAATTTTCCTTTTTTTTTTTTTTTAGTTTTATATACTAATAATTTTTCCTTTGTTGAATTATGTGCCAATGAAATTTTAATGTTGCCCCCTCCCCAAATTTTGAAAAAATAAAAGTTCACTTTTGACCCCTTTCACACAATTTCATTTCTTTTGGGCCTTTAAAAGAATCTTTTGGGCTAACTTTTTGGGCCTCTATCACGCCCCTCATGCAATTACTCTTACATATCACATACTGACATACATATAAAATAAAACACATAAAAATAATTATATATATATATATAAAGAAAGATAGATTTACTTGAGTAGTGCAGCGATTGAGGATGTCCTTGAAGACGATGCAAGGTTCATGTCTTGTCTCCGGCATTTCTTTCCTGTACCAAACAAGAACAAATTTTACTTGAACAAAAAGAAAGCCTTGGAAAGTAGTGTACTAGTCATAAATTATTGTTTAGAAACAAAAAAAAAAAAAAAAAAAATTGTAAAAAATAATGAAAGTAACACTACCATGTTGGTGGGCTGCTAGTATTCATGGAGGCAATTGCAAGCTCTTGATCAATGTAAGGAGTCCCACTGTTTTCATGAAGGAACAGATTGGTGTTAATCAATTTCCCATCATTGAGGTGATAACTTTGCTGGTGGTAAACAGAGTTGGAGCTCAGGAAGTAATTTGATTGCGGAATGCCTTGCATTTCAAAATTATTGTTTGCTGCAAGTTCTGCTTCTGCAACAAAACCCAAACAGTTCTCAAGAATACCTTCAAATTTTCTAATCTATAAGAGCAATGCAATATAAAAATTGTTAAGAATGCTACTAGTAGAGATCAAAAATTGTTAAGAATGCTACTAGGCTGACTAAAAAATGCTACTAGTAGAGATCAATAAGGGACTATTTGATTTATGACTCAGTAAACAGTTTTTAAGAATTTAGAAAACAAAAAATAAAAATTGTTCCAAAGAAGTATAAAAGATGATTATAAAAAGGATTGAGTCATAAAAATTATATAAATCGATCAAACAGAATTTATGTATAAATTTCTCATTTTCAGAGGAAACAAATTCTATTTTCATACGGGTTCTATATGATAGTAGTCCTTCAATGCTCATTAGATTACATCTATTCTAATCATGCCATAACACATATTTAGCTATCTCACACGTATCCGTGTCAAACTCGTGTCTGATACTGTTACTGCCACGGTACCTCTAAATATATGTTCGTACTTCCTAGCGAGAGTCGGAGTGCGTCAAGTAACTAGTTTTAAAATATTCTTTGACATTTTAAATGTTAAGTGGGACTCACTTTTGATGCCACCCACCAAACTATTAAATTTGAAGAGCATAACCAGTCTATAATTAATTTTAGTCTATCTCTTAAGCACAGGTAATTTTAAATCACCATTTATAATACCATTAAAAGACTTGGCATGGTTGCAATATATATATATATATATATATCTAGAGTGCCATTTATGTACATACAAAATAGTGATGAAGTGATGTTCCCACTTTCAAATAATTTCCTGTCCTCCACGGGCAGTTATATATGAAAATTGGTACTCTCAAAAGGGATGGTAGCAAAATGGGAGAGCCGAAAAATGCTTGGTTTAGATGAAAACATGTGATATTTCTCAGAGCATCACTATTATATATATGTATATATTATAATATATTATTGTAAAATATTGAGGAGTTAGGAAGCTTTTTTTAAGTTCTAAAATCGCCCCCCTATAAATTTAATTGGTATAAGTTTCCATATATTTTAAAATGAACTGTTGGAAACTAAATTGATGCTTCAAAGGTACCAAGCAAGATATATACAGATGGGGAAAAAAAAACCCTAACATAATGGTACAATTATAATGACAGTTACGACCTAATAGTCAACTTAAAATTAACCTTGGAAATAATTTTCTCTGACAAAATGTACTGATTTACTAGTGATATAAACCAAGAATAATAATAAATATTCTTGTGGGAAGTATGAAAAAGTTGAGCAGTAGGCTCTAAAGGTTAACTCCATCTTTTCATCCCATTTAGTTGGCCACGCAAATTAATGATAGAATAATGCCAGTATATATATATATTGTAATATTGCAATTAATTAGCAACACTTGAACTGAGATATGTATTCATGTCCCTACAAATATAATGAGGTCATGCATGATGATCAGTTGCATAAATATAGATGAATATATATATATATATACCTTGTATCATCTGCTCATGTCTCATGCTCCTATACATCTGTCCACAAGCAACAAGTAAATTAAGTGTCAGACAATTCCATGAAAATAAATCTTAAAGAGCTAGAGAACATGTGATCATAACAAATAAAGTTCTACCATCCCTAAATTAATCTAGAGTAAGGGTTTAATTATACACACACACACACACACATATACACATCAGAACCTGAAGGTGACTCTTTACGTGAGATATGGTTATTCCCTTCACATCCATCAACTGTAAAACCATTTTTGGAGTTGCTCCTGCCAAAAAATGAAAAAAAGAAAAAAGAAAAAATAATAATAAGTAAATACATCCCTTAATTTAAAACTTGTATCTCTTAACAAACGAGATGGGCCTGGACACAATTGTAAAGTTGCTTTATTAGGACTGAAGTAATGAGTTCGAATTTGAAAACAGATTCTGAAACTGCCTACATCTGATCTCTCCAGACCCTTTAATGGTGGAAACTCGTACACTAGGCTATCCCTAGTCTATAATCAAATAAATAAGATCATGGTATGAAGTAGAGTGGTAGAAAACATTTTATCATAAGATGATCTTAATTTGATGTGTGTGTGTGTGTGTGTGTGAGAAGAGAGAGAGATTACTGTCTTCCCCACCAAGCCTCTCAACTGCATGCACAAAACATTGGTGAAGATCACGAGTCCATCGAAGTCTTGGCACCTTTGACCGGACATAAGGTCTAACTCCTGGTTTCAAACTCATATGATCCGGCATAGTGTCCTCCGTCCTGCGCCGGCTAATTCTCAGAGATAATTCAGAAGGATCTTCGAAGTTGTCAATGGAGAAAGATGAGGACTTGATAGAGTTTCCACAGTCTACCCTCTTCATTTGAGAGAGAATGAGAGAGAGAGAGGGGTTGGTCTATGCCACAACAAAAGAGAATAAAAATTAGTGAGACTGTTCTAATACTTCGTCCATTTGTGCAACTTTTACGACTCTCTCAGTCTCAACCTTTCTCATCTCTCATGGGCAGTTTAGTCTTTTGAAGCTTCCATTGTGAAGATGAAAATTTATACACTGGATTTCAGACTTGGAAAAATTCAAAAATGCATCCTTGATTGGGTGAAAGTGAGAAGAAAGGATAAGTTAAAAGTGATTCCATCCAAAAATATTCTCATTTGTGATATTACCTTATTAGACATTCTCTCTTTGGGTCATATTATAAACATTCTTGTCCTTTAGAAAGAAAAGAGGAAACTAGATGGCATTTATGACTTTTCCTATATGTGAACCCAATTAGGTCAGACCACTTAAGCATCAAAAGACAAAAATGGGAAACAGATCATTTGCACTTGGCATGGACTACAGAGGTCAGTTACAAACAAGGGGGGTTCATATATATCATGGTGATCATGAATTAACACTGACAAAAAGAAGTACTTAAAGTGAGCGATCACAACTATTCTCTGCTTATATAGTACGATGCTGTTGTTACAATTAATGATCCATACTATTCTTCTTAATGCCATTTTGGGTAAAAATAGTTATTCCTAGATAAAATTAATAATCTTCACATATGTATATCTATTTATAATTTTTGTTGGGTGGAGCCATACTTTGTTTTAAAAGAAATAATTATGCAATTGCTACAAATAAACAAAAACGCAATTGTTAGAAAGTGACCAAAGTTTTTTTTTTAAAAAAGAAGCTGTCGTATGCAATGCATGTCCTAAAGGAAACATACCAAAAACCCTAGAATTCAAACATCCTCATTCCGAGACTATAACCCCTATTCCGGCATGACTTTTTGTAGACACCAAAGACTTTGTACATACCCTACCTCATTCACATGGACTTTGTACATACCCTACCTCATTTACGTCAATCCAGCTAGACCAATCACGTGACGTCGCGTGATGACACGTCATGCATCGACATGCAAAACGGCTTTCTCAAGTGGTGACATGTGGATTTTTTTAAGTTTCACTGCCTGGCGTCCCGACATTTGTAATTGAGGAATGCTAAGGGTAGCGGTGACTGTCGCGATTACTCAAGCAGAGTCCTTAGATCTGTGAGCCCTACAAGATCCAAGGGCTATAATTGCACGATTTTTTTTTTTATTATTTTTAAAATCAACCATTGATTAGTGGTGTAAATGCATATGGGGTGGTCGTTGCGTTACCAAATGTGGATGGTCCAAAAATGCCTTAAACTAACTATGCATGTCATGATGTGCCTAACCATATATGCTGACAAAGTTAGCTCAACAATGCCAAAGACAGTTTCAAAAGAGGATAAATTCTTATTCTTTGTGAACTATTAAAAGGATGGACATGTGTGTTAGAGTATGTCTCAATTTCATCATGGTATTTTGTTCGAGGTGTAGTTATAGAGGAGCGCGTGAAGATAGATTTCGAACCAAGATGAAAATCGTTGGGTTTTGTGTCTCAAAATCTAATGTAGGATGTCATTCTGAAAGAGGTGGACCGGTTCAACTTATGCGGAACGGTCCAACATGGCTAGAAAATGAAGACTAAGGTTCTGGAAATGTTAAATCGGTCCAACTTTAACGGATTGGTACAACGTGCTTGATATGTGCGAGAGAGAATTTCTTTTTTATTTTGGAAGCCCGAAGACTTAGGAGCAAGGCTGAAGTTTTGGAAAGGAAGTTGTGGCTTATTCTATTGCTATTTTAGAGTTGAGATTGATATGGTGACTCCTTGTAGGTAATTTGTGAAATTCTTGTTCAACAAAGAATTGGTAATTGAAAACTCTATAAATAAAGACGGGTTTGGATAAAGAGAGAGAGGGGAATTATGTAAGGGTTTAAGGATGAGTGTTGGGAGGAGATGATAAAGTATATGTAATTTCTCTCTCCGTGGACGTAACTCTAGAGGTGGGTGAATTATGTAAAATATTATATTTTGGATGCTGTAAGAATTATTGTTATCTTCATATATGTTTGTGTGATGATGTAATAATGATGTTTTCGCTACGTAAGATAGAAGAGAGATTTAATTTTCAATAACAACCAACCATAGAATGGGTTGGAAGGAGTTAATATTCTTAACAGGATGTTGATGATATGGTAAGCATGAATAACGACATTGAAAGGTATTTGGTGGAATGAGGACAAAGAGAGTTGGATCAGATGAATGTATGTAGACATATAATATAGGGTTTTGTCAACATACTCCAGAAGAAGAATTGTTTCATCCGTTTCTTGACAGGCAGGGGCTACATGGTCTTCAGTGAGTTATGGTTAGAAGTGTTGTCATATTCATTGTTATCAACAAACTTTTTTGGTTGTATTGTAGTATGGGGAGATTAGTGGTTAATTAGATGAATTTCAACTCTCATGAGCTTGAGGACATGTCATTAATCATCTCTAAAGATGTGAAGTGGTAGATAACTAGGGTGAGAATAAGGTAACATGGCCAGCATAGGACATTTTGGCCATTGAATACACACACATACACATCTACGTATACACACACACACACATGTGTGTGTGTATAGACTATAGGGAAAGAGAAAATTATATAATTGTGAATTTATATTCTTTTTATAAATGCTTAGGGAAGACTGCCCAAATATTTATACAGGGATTTACTTATCTAAAAAAGTATAGGGATTGAGTACTTTAGCCTCATCTAAGGAAGACATGGAATTATGGAATTTGAGAGGAAAAAATTGATAATCCAATTCAATACATAATTTTGAACGAATTAAGTATTCTTCCAATTAAGTAGTTTTGATAACATAATTTAGATATCAAATTATCCAACTTAGTATATTTATAATGCAATTTGGATATCATTTGAAAATGGATCAAATTTAAAGTGATAGCGATCGACTTCACTTATCAATGTTGAACTCTTAAATTTTAAAAAATTATAAAAAATCTTAATTTTCAATTACCATTTAAAATTTTCCATACTTAAAATTTAGCTCTTAGAATTTGAGTATTTAATATTGAAATTATTATTATTATTATTATTATTTTTTCTATGTACGACTATGTAACTAGCTAGTTAAAATAATTTGAGTTAGCTAATTAATGTTCTTTAGTTGGTATAGTATGTTAGACACGTTTATTCATTAAACATGATGTTGCTTATATTGTCACACTATATTGGTATTTTGACATAACACATTGACTAACACACCGTTACAGTTTTGGAAAGTTACAATTGTGTGGTTTTGAAAAGTTATGGTGATTTTATAACCAACATTTTGGATTTGAATAAATCAGGATTTGCATGATGGATTGCATTCTCTCTTTTTATTCATATAACAGATTGCATGATGAATAAATAAGGATTTATAGGCGTGAACATCTTAAGATTTTCTCATTTTGTTTTGCAGAACTGACTTCATAGATGGAGATGTGTGATCTTTTGGGCTATTTGATCATTTAGCATGATTTATGAATTTTATTATTTTTCTTACATTTGGTATCAGAGCGATTCCTTTATGCTATGTTGTCATTATATTTCTCTAGTGATCTATAACATTTTTTGGCGGCTATATTGTCGTTCTGTTTCTCTAGTATGTAATATTTTTTTATGGATATTCTGATTTTGATTTTGGAGGATGCATCGACTCTAGAAAGTCAACATCAAAACATTATTTTTTCCTAGTTGGTACTCACACACACCCTCAATGAATTGTTTGCACACAAAAGGATTCGAACCTTAGACCTGATGCTTTCTGAGGCACCAGGGTCAAGTTCTCACCCACTTGAGCTAACTATTGGGGTTAACATTAGGATATGTATTCTTTTTTGTTGGAGGAGTTATCTTGTGGAAAAGTTCAAAACAAAAACCAATCACTTCCTCTACTATGGAAGTGGAATACGTAGCATGTCATGAGGCTACAACACAGGCCTTATGGTTGTTTAATTTTATCACAGACCTTAAAGTTGTGAATTCTATCTCTAGACTATTGAGAATCTATTGTGATAATTCCACTGCAGTTTATTTTTATAACAATAATGCAAGTGGGGGAGTTCAAACAAGTGGATTGACATAAAGTTCCTTATTGTTAAAGAACGAGTTCAGAATCATCAATTATTGGTACATGACATTAGAACAAGGTCAATGGTAGCAGATCCTATGACAAAAGGTTTTCCACCCAAATTGTATAAGGAATGTGTAGGACATATGTGACTTATTGATATTGAGACACTTTAAAGCTAGTTTGCATTTGTATTTATGTTCTGATGATTCTTAGTATTTATTTGTCATTTTAAGGCTAGTATACATAAAGTTTATAAATGACAAATTATCCTTTTGAATAATAAAGTAGGACCTTAGAATAGGCTTTTGGGAGCTTATTCACACAGATAGTCCATTTGGATAATAAAATTGGCTTCATTGCTTAATTGAATAGTTTTGAAATAACTATTCATCACATAAAGATGTTATCACTCATATAAGAAAGATGGTGATATAATGATACATGGAAGGTAATACTCATATGTAGAGTGTAATTTCCGCCATGATTTTATACATTGAAATTCTCCGGATAAAATCTTAGTTGTTAAAACTATAAGGAAAATTAGTGTGTCAATATTGGCCAAACGGGAGAATGTTAGATATATTTATTCATTAAACGTGATGTGACTTATATTGCCACACTATATGCGTTATGACATAATATATTGACTGACACACAGTTGCAGTTTTGGGAAGTTACGCGTTTTGGATTTGAATAAATAGGAATTTTCATGATGGAATGCATTCTCTGTTTTTATTCATACATTCTTTTTAAAGAGGTCCCATGCCTAACAAGTAAATAAATGTTTGTGTTCTTTCCATCAGTATACGATTAAAAATTATGAACCGTGAACATCTCGAGGTTTTCTCATTTTGTTTTGCAGAACTGACTTCATGGCTGAAGGTATGTGATCTTTTGTACTATGTGATCGTTTGGCAACATCAATGGACTTCATTATTTTTCTTACATAGTAATCTAGGGAAGACAATAGCCCATATCGATGCTAGTTTATAACCAAAGTAGATTCATGCCGAAAAGCAAATGGAATACATTTGCATTATAAGCATAAACGGCTTGAATTTGAAATTTTTAAAAAATTAGTTCAAAGTTTAAACTAATTTTTTTTAAATTCCAAATCCAAGATATGGATTCGGAACTCCCAAATACAATATTTGTACCGAGAATGCCAAATACCATGCAACTTGCAACAGCTAGCACTAAACACAACTCTTTCGTATAATTGATAAGTAGTCGCGCACTTGAATCAAAAGTTGTCCCACAGTAATATGATGTTCCTAACTCTAGACTACAAATAGTGAGGATAGAGTAAAATATAGCATTGTAATAGCTACTACATGGTAAAAAAAAAAGAGAAAAAGAAAAAAGAAGGGAATATTAACTCAATGCTCAAGTAGAGCTCTTGCAATATCTTCTTCATGAAGAATTGATTACATGGAAGTAAATTTATCGACCCAGAAATTTTGTCACCCCCTCGTGGCAAAATCTAGGTCCTGCTGGTTCAAAAAGGCCGAGTATGGCGACCGGATGCTCGGCCGCAGAGAAGAGCATTCTTGGGTATTGGATATTCATCTCTCCATGAATTTGAAGGAGAGTTGACCCTGAGATAGAACTGCTGACCCAAGTACTGCCTTTCCCAGTTCTCAGACCTTATGTTCCACATTCCAACATTGTCCAAGGCCATGTAGACTGCAGTCCATGACCTAGGATACACCTGCACCACTCAAAACCATCAAAATAAGCTCAAAATTAATGCCAGCTTGGTTCGGTTTTCTAAAAACAGTTTTATGTTTTTTTAGAACTGAAAATAAAATAATTGTACAAATAATTAACGGTTACTAAAAACTCAGTTAAAAAAAGGCTTCTTTTTAATTATTTATTTATTTTATGTTTTTTTTGAAAACAATTTTCTGTCTTTTGAATTCTTGAGAACTATTTTTAAAAAACTGAACCAAACAGCTAAAACCTCCCCAACAATCCACTCACATCACACTGCAGAAATGTCAATCTTTCGCCATACCTGAACCGTTGAACGAGCAACTGTGTCTCTCAAATTGTATCTTGATCTACTTCCCTCAGTCCACTGCCCTCCATCCATTCTGCTCACCCAAAAATTGTTTACAAATCAAGAATTATAGTAACATATTTGGCATTAACAATATCAAATTACACTTGAGCTAAATTATAGGCTTACCCCACAACAAAGAAAGCATAGCCATCAATGTGCCATGACTGCACTGTGTCCTCCCAATTTTGGAACACAATCTCTACAAAAGACCGGAAATCAGCATTCATGACAGAGGTTGCAAGGTAACCATTTCCCCAGGTGGGTCTGTCCGGGATGCTTCCAAGATTGAACACTCCCCAAATCTTGAAGTAATCAGCAAGTTTTAAGGGAGTGTCTGCAGGAACAAATGAGACACTGTTGACAGCATACCTCTGCTTGCCATTGATATAAGGCGCAGAGTTGGCAACCATGATTGTCCGGGAGGTCTTGATCATCCCGTAATGGTAGGAGCCTTGTGGATTAGGTCTGGGCCCACTCGCAGTCAGATTCCATCTGGAAAATAAAAAATATAAGATATCTCCCACCCACACAATATTGCGTCTAACATGACACGAAGACTCAACTTCCTTTTGTAAAAAAAAAAAGGATTATACCATCTGCTTATGCCCATTATATAAGATATTCTTATAAGTAAACATTTATGCTTATATTTAACTTTGCTGTGTTTTGGTTAGGCCAATTTCCAAAGGCATGTTGATGATATGTAGAAATTTGAAAATTTGAAAGTTAGTTAATTACCGGATTGATCTGGCCTGGCTGAGGGATGGAGCAATCTGAATAGTAGGTCCACCAGGAGGGGGACCGGAAACTCTTGCGAATGAATTGCTGTAGTGAAGAATGGATGTAGTCATGAGCATTCGAGAAGTGAAGCGCGAAGAAACAACCATGTAGTAATCTTTTGCAGGCTGGTTAGCTGTGACCAAAACCGAATAGGATTGTCCCAGATGGATATCAAGAGAAGAGTATGTGTTTTGGAGTGTGTGTGATCCTTCTACCTCTACAAGTTTCATTGTATGCCCCTGAATTCTGAAGTTAATTGATGTTGTAAGGCCCACATTCGATATCCTGAACCTATATGTCTTGCCTGGAATCAAAATTTTGAAGCAAATGAGGTTACAAACACACACACAATTAACCAGTAGTGTCAATGAGAAGGCCTATATTAGGATTGTTGTTGACAAACACCTTGATCAACATTGAATGTGTATCCGTTCCAGCCACGACCATTGATGAGAAGGCCATCAGGGAAGGGAAGGTTGTGACCTCTATCCAGCCTCAATTTTAATTGCTATGAAACGAAAAATAAAAAATAGAAAATAAGCCATGACAGAGAAAACACAACTGAAATTTTCGTTATTCTAAACGTATGTTACATGGATTCTTCAAATGTAGGTGAAATACCGGACATGAATATGGGATACAGACTCTTATAGTTGGACACTCACCTTAAAAAGATATCTAACAGTTTAATTTTGTTATTTTATAGCTTAAAATGAGTGAAATGCCTATATTGATTATTGAGTGCTATGTTGCATAAAGAGATTTTTTTTTTTATTTTTTATTTTTATTTCTAAAATTATCAAATAATACGAATATTTAGCAGTGTTCATGTGTCATTTTATTTGAAAATCCCGACACATATATCCGAGTCCATGGAACATAGGTCTAAGCAAGTGATACCGCATAGTGATATAGAATGCTTACTCTGTGACTTCTTTTGAACCAGTCACCAGCCAATATGGAGTAGTCTCCAGCAGGAGGAGGGAAAGGCACTGGAATCTTAGGACGGCTCAAGATTTTGATGGCACCAAAGCCTCCAGCAGCCTTGTGGAAACCAAGTGATGGGAAGTAGAAAAAGCTTCCAATCTGGTCCTTTGCCTGGATCATGTATGTGAAGTTCTTGCCTGGCGGGATTGGACAGTTCGTGCCATAGGTCCCGTCTTGCCACGAGTTCCTCCTGTGCTGCAAACCATTCCTGCAGCCGAATAGCAGGACGACACTCATAGTTATAAATGTACATGAACTAAGGCTCTCCAAGTCTAATTATTTGGCTTAAATGCACAACTTGATAGTAGTTCTGAAAGTAGAAGACACAGTATTTCTATGACAAACATAATATGGTAAGAGGCAATACAAAAGAGTATACTTGTTCTTCTGGACAACATATCAAGAAAATTGTTTGTCCCAAACATCAAATGTATTAAAGAAAAGGAGATCTATATACATATGGAACAAATGTATTAAAGAAAATGAGATATATATACATATGGAACAAATTAATACCATTGTGCACCTAGGACTTATTTTTTAAGATTAAGACATTATAAGTAGATTGCAAGTTGAGTTTGAGAAGAAATAACGAAGAACAGTCACAACTATCAAACCTCATTTGTAATTCGGATCATCCAACTCATATTTTTATGATAAATTATTAGGTAGTCCGGACTAATCATAAGAAGTTATGCAATCATAAAGCTGAATCAAAGTGACACATTTAGTTGCATTGTTGTGATGGTCCGGATTACATAATCTGATTATCTAATAATTTCTCTATTTTAATATATATATCTATATATATATATATATATAGAATGTGTTCCATAGACTGAGTCCGCATAGCCAACCACAAGAAAATAATATCTAAAGAAAGGATGAAGCTAGTAATATTTGGAGGGCAAACTAGTGATATGAATGGAGTATTGAGACACACACACACACACACACAATGGATTAATGACATGGTTGGTGGACACTTTTTATTTTTATTTTTTTATATATAACTAAATTTGAATTTTTAATGGCAGCCATTCATAAAGAAATAAGAAGCCATGAAATATGGTTATGGGCCAACTCACCATTAATACCTTTACTAGGAATAGATCAGCCATGTGGGCCCAAAGGCTTTCAAGACATTTTCCCAATTCTGTACATACTAAAAGATGGGTCCAGGACCTCGACAAAGCTAAGAAGCCCAAGACACTACCAGCCTGTCTTCTCCTTATTGTGAGTGAGACCATGTTTGGTCTGACATAATTGTAGATGTCAGAGATCTATTCATTCACATATCTAACTTGTGAGATCCATAAAAGTAGTGCCCTTCACATTTTAATATTATGTCCTGCGAAATATCTTGTCACAAGCTCCATTAGGGCTATTTGGTGCAATAACCAAACACCCGTGACTCAAATTGATCAACCTAACCCACAAGGACCATCCATCATACTACAGTACTAACCAGTAACCACAAGAGACAGAAGTCCCATTATCCCATACCCGCACTAACACACAATCACTTTTGGGGCGTGGCACTATGCCTTAACCACACAAAAGTGCCCTAAACCATACAAAATTTTATAAAAGTACCCCTAATCTTTTTGGCACTTAAAAACAAAACCTTTAATGCTAAAAAGTTAAGCTCTATTTGGTGATAAATTATTACATGATTCTTGAATCATTGGTTTCACTTAATCAAGAAAGGACACATGAAAAAAAAATTGATTGAAATGATATAAAACTAACTTTACGTATTGTTTTGTATTGTTTTGTTACTAGTCACAGGACCATGCAATAAAAATAAATTTAGTTTTTTTTTAAAAAAAATTGAAGAACTTAAAAAATAAAAAATTATTTTTATATAATTATAAAAGTCAGTTCTACTAAAATAGTCTTAAAAAGAAACTGTCAACTAAAGACATTTTGTAAAGCTCTCTAATTTTCAAAAAATTAAAAATCATTAAACTATTCTTAAAAAAAAAGAAAAAAAAAAAAAACAAGGAAGGTTGAGCTAAACAAATCAATGGGTTCTAGCCTAGAAAAAATATATATAAAGTAAGGGTGTATTTGCTCGAACTTCCTTTCTTTATTTATTTTTTTTGGTAAAATATTTGCTCGAACTTGACAAAGAGAAAACTGACCAAAACCCCCCAAACATTCTTGGTTGTTCAATGTTCAGGGGCATTTTTGTCTTTTTAGAGAAATAAAGAAGCCAAAGTAGATCTGGTGGCATCCAATACATGTCTTAAAGCTAGTAATGATAACACTAGATGCCAATCTCATTTTTTCCAATAACAGAAAGACTAGTTCTTTGATGGCCTATATATATATATATATATATATATATATTCAAGAATTTAATTTAGAAAATGGGGTTAATAATCTTACCAAGAAATGAGAAATGGTTCACTCAAGTAGTTGTAAACAGTGATAATCAAGTTATCATTCGTAACACAATCGATCTGAGGCCCAGGAAATTGCCCATTTATCAAGATCCCCTGTAACATTAATTTCTCACATTCAATCACAATATTCATCAAAATCCAAGAATTTAAACATTTACATATATATATATATTATAGGAAGATAAATTGAAAAAAAGCACGTACCTGTTGTTGGGCACCCAGAGGATAAATGTTGCCAGAAGTGACTTTCCAAGTGTAGAACCTATAAGGGTCTTCACCATTAACGCTATGAATGAGCACAAGTAGTACTGTAGAGATGAAGAGAGACGAAAGAGCTCTGAAATCTCTCATTTCGTCCCTCTATCAAAGCTCAAATGACTGGTTTTCTCTCTTTCTCTCTCTATATGTACTTATATAGTAGTATATATTAATATTTCTCTTTATATATATATTATACTTCTTTTTTTTGGAATGGAGCTCTAACAAGAAGAGCAGAGGAGGAGCTGTCTCTGCTCAAGTGAAAGTGAAGTGGTCTGTGAGCTGTGTACAAGTGAATACTATATTACTTCAATGAGTTTAGCAGAATGTGAATTACGGAATTACCCCTTTCACGTGCGATTATAACAGGCAGTACACGTAATATTCGTCACTGATTTTTTTTTTTTATCATTTACTGCTGCTACTGGTGATTGGTGAATCTGTTGGAAGTTATCCCCTGCGGTGCCGGAGCACATTAAGTTCTTTTTTCTTTTTCTTCTCTTTTTTGAAAAATGATTGTCACTCTGATTGAACAATCTGAATAATTTAACTGATTTTATTATAATTTTAATTGTTAACTTATGCTTTCTTCACTCATGTCTCATTCTTCATCTTCATGGTTTTATAGTATTTATAAATAAATAAATAAATAAATAAATATTGAGTTTTCAATTTAAATACTCATGTCAAATGGTGTTTTGTGGTTTGTCAAACAAAAAATAAAAAATAAAATTGATGTTAAGTGAAATTTTGACATCACAAAATAGTAAACCAAAAGCTTAACCATCCCAATAAAATAATAATAATAATCCTGCGAGAATTCTTCGGTTTTGGGGCGACACCAATTAATAATCTTCCATCAATGATTTTTTTTTTTTTTTAGGATTTATTGATTGATGTGAATGGTGTTCATTCAAGTGTTGATTAATTTATTAATGTATTTAATTTCTGGAAAGGCACATGCATGCAAATGACAATGATTAACCCTGGTATTCTTGGTGCCAATCATTCAAAAATTGTTTATTCCTTTGTTAGTTTATAAGAAGGTGTCGCTAATGATTAGGATTAATTTGATTCAAATTAAGAAAACTTGCTGATCTGAAAGTTTGGACTTGGGATGATCATGAGATTGGAATGAGAGAGATGAAAGGCCTTTCCTTTCCTCGAGAGAAGTTGAAAGAAAGGAATTCTTTTTTCTCTTACCATTGTACTATCTTTGTCTTTTCAAAATGGAAAGGAAAAAGTAAAGATCTATTCTTCTTTTTTATATTTTTTATATTTTTTTATTCTTTAAAAAAGAAACACTTTTTCAACTACTTCTAAAATATCACTCTTTCTTATATATATATATATATATATAAGTAAATAGGCAAGAAATTTTTAAGTGGTCGTGAATTACTGGTCTCTGCATATAACCATCCCACGCAAGTAAAAAGTTGAAGGAAACTTATATATTTTTGACATAATTACTTTCATGTTCAATTATGACGGGGACGCCATAAATCAGGATCTTGTAATAACAAAATTTGCCATGCAATGCGTGATTGAGAAACAAAAAATGCAAGTAGAATGTCTAATTAATCATGCAACAACTATTTTACTTTTAATATTTTGTTATATAAATAGATAAGAATTGAAGAGATAGAAGGCTGGATGCATGAAATAGGTATTTATAGGGGGAAAAAATTTGGATTTTTATGGTATATATATACCGTAGTGTTCAATTGCTCTCTGGGAATAAAAAATTATATACTCACTTTTAATTGTAGCCTTAGGATCTGATCCTACAACAATTAGTTAATTAACTTTTCTTTTCTTTATTTTAATAAACTTACTCTTTCTTTCCATACCATTAAATATCGTTAAAGGGAAATAATAGAACTACACAATTTATTAAAGGAAATAAGAATAAAATAATTTGGCTACTCTTTGTCTGTGTTTCTCTGTCCTATAAAAAAACCCCTTCCATCATTATCGGTTGTTTGTTAAACAAATTTGTAAGCAACAATCGAAACCAAATAAAATTAATCAAAAGAGGTATATCAAATGGCCATGAAATAAAGATTGCTTGAGAAGTATCGATTATAATCTAAACTCAAATTTTAAGATTGATCCATGTTTTATACTCAGCTTAATTAAAGATTGTAAATTTGTTCAACAACTAATTTAGAATTAAGAGACGACTATTGGCTTCATAAATTTTTTAGAACGATCTTTCAAAACAACTCTTAATATATTATTATATGTCCATCTAAATGTTCTTAGTGTCCAGGTCCTTAATTTACAAGATTCTAATGGAGAACTATGTTCTCTATTTATTTAAAATCATTTAGGTACATGTTTTCTTGATTTATTTCATAATTTATTCTATTGATAAAAGTGTAGGAAGAAACTAAAAATGATGACTTTTAATTTCTAGATTAATTTTATTGTGTGAGTGGCCTATTTGCGAATTTGGCAAAAGTAGCCAAATTATTTACTCTTATTTCCTTTAATAAATTGTGTAGTTCTATTATCTCTATATTTAATGGTATGGAAAGAAAAAGTAAGTTTCTTAAAATAAAGAAAAGAAAAGTTAATTAACTCATTACCGTAGGATTAGATTCTAAAGTTACAATTAAAAGTGAGTATATAATTTCTTATTTCAGGGGCAATTGAATACCATTATATATATATATATATATACTTTTTATACAGGTCATATATATATATATTCTTGTCAACGTTGACACATTTAACTAAATTGGTGAAATTAAGTGATGCAAGAAATCCGAACACAACACTACATCATGGGTTGGCTTGAATCAACTCTCAACCGTACACATAAAAATATGGTGTTTCTGATTTTGAGACACCCCTATTTAATGGCTTTATGTTGCCAACTTAGTAATATGCTAAATTAATCACCGACTACAAAAATAACATAACATTTCTGTTTTATGGAGTATATCTTTTTCTGAGACAGTACAATTCTCTCTGGCATTAGTGGTCAAACTCAGACAATGATTGCTCTTTTTCTAGAAGCTCTACTTGGCGCCAAAACTTTTAATTGGCGCAATTCATTGAGTAATTTTGAATCATCCAACTAATTTCTCTTGTACTTCCATTTTTTTTTTTGCCAATGTCCAAATACATTTTCTATCTAGTCACATGAAAAAAAGCATTTATTATTAAACAAGACAGTTGGATTACTAATACAGTTTTTTATTTTTATTTTTATTTTTTTGTGAACATCCCTTCCCTATATATATTTTTTTCTTTTCGTCTAATTATTACTATTATTTTATTTTTCTCTTCTTATTATTTAAACGGACTATAAATGTAATTAAAAATTTATATTAAAAAAGGCTAATTTAGTGCATAAGGTGTTCGCCATTGCGAATGATGAGTGGGTCAAATGTATATAGGCACGGCCCAATAAGTGCTTAGTGAGGAAAGCCGCCCCTACTGTTTTATTTATTTATTTACAAAATTACCTATAATTTTTTTGAAAATCTTAAAAATGTCCTTATTTTTTTGTAAAAATCCTTTAAAATCCCCCACTCAATTTTTAAGAATACCTCACTAAATATTACTGTTGTTCAAGGCCGCTCATTCTCATACAATTCTATGGTCCATCATTGAATGTAAGAAGCTTAATCTTCTCATGCATGCACGGAGATTGTTACCTTCACAATGAAACAATCATTTTATTAGTTAAGTATTTTCTAATGTGTTGTAAGAAGATCGGATTTCTCTTTTGTGAAAGATATAATGGACATTTTTCTTTTATCTTCTAATCACAACTATATATTCATTTCGGTCCTTCATAGTGGTATCTAAATAAAAACATGGTGACATTCAAATTAATGTGGATTGTTGTGATTAACGCAAAGGTATATAAAAGATGTTCATTTCCATGTTAATTTTTATATGGATCGTGTTTAATATTGGAAATGCAATGAACAAGATAGAAAAATAAGCAATAAGCCCATTACATGAGTATAACTAGGTAAAGGAGGCCCACTGATTTAGGACCAAACAATTACAATGACTTAGCCCAAGTTCAATGTTTAAAATGGCCTTTATTCTTAGAGTCGTGATACAAGGCTCAAAAGTTGAACACATCTTTACATCATTCATAGAAAAATTATAAAAATAATGTGTACAATCCGACTACAAATATTTTTCTTATTATTATTCCAAATTGCTCACAATATCAACATGTATGAACAATAAAATCCAACAAGCTAACTTAATTAAATGATCTAATAATCTATCTCAAGAACTGTTAACTAAAATTAATACTTCAATGGTCTAAATTCATGTATCCTATGGGAGGAAATATAAATTGATCACATTTTATTGAATTTAAGCACCTTATTATTACATATGCACATTAGCTCACTCTAAAGAGGGAGAACAAGAGATGTGGAGTATTTGTCCGTACTTCATATACCCTAATTTAACTTTGGATGAAGCAGAATGATATTGACTGCAAAGTCACTCATACAAAATTTCGTAGAATTGCATAAAATTCTCTAGAATTTTTTAGTAATAGAGTATTCCACACTTTCACAAAATTTGATAAAATTGCATAAAATTATCTAGAATTCTATAGTAATTTAATTGGTAGTTATTAGATATTCTATGAATGTTTTAGAATGTCAGTTTATAATTGTCCTAACCAATAGAATCCATAACACAATCTGGTAGCCTATTGCCCTGTCACTATATAAAAGGTTGGGAGCTCATTTGGTCCCATGGCGTTTCAATGGCAAGCTAGCTAAGTCAGCTTTGCTCACATAATCGTATAATGGATACAATAGACTTAGTTGGAAAAAATAAGTAATTAAAATTATTCTGCCTAACATTTTAGAAATAAGGATGCTTACCAATCTTATTGTAATGTAGTTTAGGTTATTTCTTCGACAACATGTAAATTTTTTTTTTTTTAATTAAATATAAATCATAACTGTAGTGATATTATAAGAATATATTGCAAAAATTTTGCAAAATTTTTTCATTTGACAAAAGAAAATTCAAATTGTTTAATGCAATTCTATGAAAAATGTGTTTTAAAAGAGAAAAAAATTAATTACATTTAAAGCAAATTGATTTATACAAATTTAGAATAAACATATAATTATTTGAGTAGAAGGGGATCACTCACATTTTAAAGCAATAATATCTTCAGAAGAATAGATTATACTAGATAGTTGGAAATTTTGAGCCTAACTACAGTTATAAAAGGATGAAGTGGGAAAAAAACCTAAAAAATAACCCAAAACTTCCAAATTGGTAGCTGTGTTACTAATTACAGACGTGGATGACAAAGCCATCAAATTACTAACTTGCAGACAACAAAAAAAAATAAATAAATAAAAAAAATAGATGGGTAACAATTCCCTTTTGCAGAAATGTTTTCCGGTATACCAATTCCTAAGCAGCCGACGAACTCATGAGAAAAGAATAATAATACTTCAACAAAGAAAAATAAATAAATTGAGCAAGGCTCATAGAACTCCAATTCCTATTGGTGATGTAAACAAGAAATTATGTGCAAAACATGTTTTAACAAATAAATGACAGTTACAAGACGAGAAATAATATGCAATCTTGCCATAGTAACCAACGACCACCAGCTCTTCATTACCTGGAACTCTTCAACAAGCAACCCATCCACTAATCATCAACAGAGGAGCCAATCCATTTCTTGTTATGGCAAAGAAGAATGTGACCTTGATCACCCAAGGCTCCTATGTGAGCACACACTCTCTCTCTCTATATGTGTGTGTGTGTGTGTGTGTGTTTTACAAGTGGTATTTGTTGCAGGTTATACTGGACAATGGATTGGTAAGGCTCACAATATTGAAACCACAAGGATTTTTAACTGGCATAAAGTATGGAGGGATGGACAACCTTCTAGACCTCAAGTCCAGTGAATCAAGCAGAGGGTAACTTTCAAAAAATGTAAAAGTTATATGTATATTAGAAGTTATTGCAACTCTAATTTCATAAATCAGGTTGTCTTAATTTCATTCCACTTATATGTTACAATAAGCTTTTTCAAAACATTGAAAGCCAAATCCACTTCATAGTCAATCTTTCAAGACTATTATTAAGAATATATGAATAATAGCTTCTGATTGAAGCATCAATCAAGAAGACTTGCATGTAATCAGATTCGATCCAAGATTTCAAAAAGACCACTATTTTACGATCTTATTGTGTAAAAATATGCAGATATTGGGACATCAACTGGAGTTTGCCAGGGGGTCAGGACAGATATCAATTGTATGCTTTTCTTTTCACAGGAAAAAGTTCCAATTATTATTTTTCATTTGGCACTGAAAAACAACAAAACTATGACCTATTAACAATGATCTAAAACAGTGTGTGTGTGTGTGTGTGAAACAGGCTCAAAGGATCTGAGTATAGTGTAATTCATCTGAGTAACAATCAGTTGGAGGTTTCATTCAGGAGCACATATGATCCTTCAACTCCTGGTGTCAGATTGCCACTCAGTATTGACTTAAGGTCAATATTCATAAAAGCTTCTTGCTTCAGTCAATACAATGCTGCAAAAATTCGACTTTGAGTTATATATATTTCACTACTATTTAGGTACATTTTGAGGAGTGGTGATTCTGGCTTCTATTGCTATGCAATATATGAGATTCCTCCCGGATGCCGCGCCTTTGATCTTGCTCAAACAAGAATGGCATTCAAGTTGCGACGAGAAAAGTAAAATTCATGATTCTTAAGTGATTTTTGCTTACTAATTCATTAGAAATTTGAATTTTTATGGACTTTCACATGAAAACTGAAACAGTTTTCACTATATGGCAATCACGGATGAGAAGCAAAGGGTAATGCCAATGCCAGACGATCTACTCCCAGATAGAGGCAAACAGCTGATTGTACCTGAATCAGTTTTACTTGTAAATCCCATTAATCCGGCTCTCAAAGGCGAGGTGAGTGCACTCAAAACTATGAGCTACAATGTTTGTGAACTGAAAATCCGAAATACATGTATAACTAGGAAGTTGGATATCTTGTATGGAATTGAATGCAGGTTGATGATAAGTATATGTATTCAATGGACAACAAAGATGGTGGAGTTCACGGCTGGATAAGTTCTGGTCCCAACGTTGGATTCTGGATCATCTTTCCCAGTCATGAGTTCCGCAATGGTGGACCTACTAAGCAAAATCTCACAGTCCACACTGGTCCAAACTGCCTTGCTGTGACTTCCCATTCTAAGACTTTTTATCACTGCAAATTATTTGGAACAACTTAACATGTATGAACAATGTTAAACAAGCTAACTTAATATTCTGATTAAAATTCTCGGTTTTTCTCGTCTGATAGATGTTTCATGGAACTCATTACATTGGGATTGACATATTAGCTCATTTTGAAGAGGGAGAGACATGGAGGAAGGTATTTGGCCCGGTCTTTGTATACCTTAATGCGACTGCGGATGCAACAAAAGCCCACAATTTGTGGTTTGATGCCAAAAAGCAGGTAAAAGGCTCAATTCTTCAATGAGACTGTTAAATAAACATTAAAAGTTTAATAAGGACTTGCAAGAACATGACAATTTAAAGATGTGAACTATCTTATTTCCATGAAATTTTTGTTGGAAACGGGCATTAAAAACATAAACTTTGGATGAGATTTGGAATAGATTCCGCTAAGAATTTTTTGCGGATCTCTAAACGAGCGTGTTTCTCTCTGCAAGGAGATGAACGTGGTATATTTACTTTCTTAAATCCGTTTCGGGGTGAATGAGAAATTAGTTCCAGAGTATGGTGTTTTGATAAGCTTAAATGGGTATGCAAAATGTGGGAAGTGTTCGTCTCGCATGAAAAATATGTTGAAACAAATTAAAATTTAAACAAGCTGAGTTTAGGATTTGGGCTTGGGCTTGGGCCTAATTGTAAAGTCCAGATTATTCTTTTTTGGAATTTTGGATTGGGCCTAATTTTGGGTTGGACTTATTTAAATGGGTTTCACAAATGGGTGGATTTTTTGGGTGGTTGGTTTTTTGAATTAAAAAAACTACTTTTTAGTTTTTCTAAAAGGTTACACCTTTTAAATTAAAAAAATCATATTTTAATTTTTCTAAAGGGTTATACCTTTAAAATTAAAAAACCACTTTTTAGTTTTTTTTAAAGGGTTACACCTTTTTTCGAACCATCATAACCCATGGTAGCATCCACTCGAAAAGGCACATTATAACCTATTAGAATGAATGTGTCTATTGGTGAACAGACACCATATGAACCATTGCAACCTATTGGAATAGATGTGTCTAGTGGTGAACAGACACCATGTGAACCATTGCAACCTATTGCAATGGTTGTGTCCAATAATGAAGAGATACACCCAATCCGAAAAGACATTTATGTTTCTATAAATTCCCCCCTTTGGATCATTTGCAAGTGGTTCATTTTCATTTTCTTCTTTCTCCCTCTCTAGACTTGAACCCAACCCAAGTGGGTTCAAACCATAGATTAAGTGGTCCGAACCACTTAGACCCTAATTGTGATACCCCTCGGATCCGAGACACGGGTTGATCAGGCCCAGGCCCAAACCCGAGGGAATATCAAACAATTAAAGTATTTTAAAATGAACACAGATGACAAAAAGAACAATAAAGATAGAATAAAACTGCAAGAAATAATAATTATAAAATCCTCCATGTGTAACTGAAAATTGAAACTCCAATCCTTCAAAACTTCAAAGTTACAACTTGGGAATCCGCTGATGGACCCCTAACTAAAAATTCAACTGAGACTGAAACTGAAAATAGATAATACTAGAAACATCGGGGAAAGTCCTACGTAATCTGGTGAAAGTGAGACTGTTCTAGACAAGCACGATCAAGCTCTAAGGCTGGAACCGTCCTGTACCTGAAAAGAATAATAAAGGAGTGGGTCAGACCCACGAGCAAGTTCTAATCTAACTGCAATCCATACAGTGACCCGATATGCAGATACACCGTAGACATCTCACAATATCTATCTAGTCCATACATATAAATATATCCACACTAAGGGACATTCACTAGTCTATAATAGGGGTCTCAACCTGAATAGAAGGCAACATGCGAATACGCACCCAAAGGTGGGCATGAGTACCTAGACCTAACAGGGTACACCTCAACCTATTATAACCAGCTATGCATCCACTGCATATACGCACCCTAACCAACGAGTCTGAGACTCAAGCTCAACTCGTGGTACCATAAACATATATATAAAGTCCGTCCAAATCCAAGGTAAGCAGTTTAACAATTTATTAAACTGACCTACAATAAACCAACTAGTTAGTCACTCAACTTATTCAGTGGATATGACTTAACTACCATCCGTTAATCCAGGAAGTCATCCAACTTGGTTACAGCTGATCTGACTTAGTCACAATTAGGATTCGATATCTTACAATCCATTCCATTAATCCATTAGGTTAGGTCTTAGCGTTTTGAAGCTAAACCATCCCTAGTATGCCACCGTCCCATACCGGTGCATATAATCCTCCATATCAATGCCAATTACAATATAGAAATCATAATTTAGTAAATTACATTCCAAAACATTATCCAAATAATTGCAGAAAGATATTTGATGTTCTAGCAATTAAAAATCCAAACGATAATCCATATCATTGCAGAAAGTATTTACTATTTCAACAATTAGCCTCCAAAGCATGCATAGGTCAACTTCAATACATCAATGACCCTATAATGTATTTAGAACAATTTATAAACATATTAGATCCCACTGGAATGCTCAAAAATAAGCTTGAGCAATTAAGTCTTCTTCCATCCCTTAATCGTGTACAATGTGCATAAATTTTATACAGTTTGTTCCGTTAATTTAGAGGTAAACTTTAATCAATTAAAAGACCTCTTAATACCCAAAGTTAACTTCTTAATCACCATGGCAAGTCCCAATATTTTTTTTTAAATAGTTCCAACACACAACAGCTTCAAACAGTGCATTAAACACCTTCCGGAAGCAAACTGAGCGAGAACAGGTTATGAACAAAAGGGGAGCCGGCTCCAATTTTTATTGGAGCCTGCTCTGTTTGGGTAGAGCCGGCTCTACACCTCCTAGAGCCGGCTCTACACTAGGGGGGAGCCGGCTCCCTCCTCCATGGAGCCGGCTCTCTCCCTCTCTGAGAGCCGTCTGTCCGTCTGTGACTTCTGCGACCTTCGTCTTCAACGCCGGCCGCTTCCCATCCGTTTTATTTAGTTTTAGACTGTTCCCAAGGGTCCTAACTATGTCCAGTATAATCCCCATGGAGTGTTTACAACAGTTGAAATCAAAAACAAAAACTACAAGTTCCACAGACAAATCATACTTAGGAAAACACTACTGTAATGAACTTTAAAAAACCATCACCGAATTTATTCAAGGCAAAGATAAGGTTAAATTGACATATAAAAACATGCTTAATTTAATTATTGATCCATTAGAACCCTAGAGTATGTCTAGGTGCACAGAACACAGGCCAACGGGAAGGAGGAAGAAAAGAACTTGCCTGAAGTTTTGGACTCAAAACTTGTCGCCGTCTTCCCAACGTCTGGTAACCACCGCAACACTGTCTAGCCTCCTAATACCTCTGCCCTTCCCTTCTCCTAGGTCCAACCCTGAAATCCCCGTCGAATCCCACACCAAACAAAAGCTGTTCTCTCAAAACCTCACTCTGTATCTCTCTGTTTTTATGTTACGCGAGTAGAGTCTTTTTTCCAATCCTTAATACCAAGAAGCATGTATATATATAGGCGTACAAATCCCAAACCCTAATCCTTGTTTAATAGAGACAGAGCCCTCCTTGGTCCATAAACCGACCTATGATATATACATTGCCGGCTATAACTGAAACCCTAATATAACTATATGTGTCCCATACAGTCCCGTGAAAACCAAATTAAACAAAACAAATAACTCAAATAAATTAAAACAATTAAATCAATTTACTACCACTTAAATAATTAACTAGAATTAAATAAATTAAATCAAAACAATTAACTCAAATAAATTAAAACAATTAAATCAATTTACTAATTAAAACACTTAAACAATTAAATAATCAAATTAATTCAACTAATCACACATAATCAAATAAAATGCAATTAACTACTAAATTAAAATCCCCGGGATATTCCTTTTAAAATTAGGGGTATTACACTAATCCAATTTTATCGAGCCATATTAAGATTAGTCCGAACCATTTGGTTCGGATTGCACCAAATTCAGTATTTATATAGTATAGATGCATTTTTGAGTCAAAGAGAATATTACACGGAGGAGGTTCGCCGTATCCACGAGTTTGTAGTGCTACTACTGGTGGATGTAAACTGTTGTATCCTGGGAGATAGACGTCACTGAGTCCGTTAGCACCATATCGGGGCGAATCTGTCTTAAGGACATAATATCCAATACTAGTTTTGGTTCAAGTTCTTTATTTATTATTATTATTTTATTAATTTATCTTGCATATTTAATTAAATATAGAGTTGCATATTTAATTAATGATTTCTTAGCATATTGTTAATAATCTCATGACATATTAGTATAAGGTTTGTTATATCTTAAATGTCACATGAAGCATATATTTTAACAACAATCTTAAGATAGATTCATTCCTTGCGTAAATTTTATCATATGCTTCTATTTAAAATATAAACAAGTAGATATTATACTAATAGTTGAGATATAATAAAATAATGTTATATACATTATTATATGATAATATGTTAAATATTAATGTGTTCAATATAATGTGAAATTGAAGCATGTTATATAAGTAGATTATATAAATTATATAATTCAATATTGGTTGAATTATTTTAATTTTGTAATATGATATTATGAAGTATATGATATTACTTTAAACATGATATCATGATAAATGCTATATTGATGAATTCTGGTTTAGCTTAGAATTTGTGGGGGGAAGTTTTGCTTTCCATAAATTATGTTATCAATAAAATACCTTAAACTAATGTGACATCATATGAATTATAGAAAGGTTAAAAACCTTTTTATAAATTCTTAAAAGTGTGGGGATGTCTATTTAAGGTTGCAAATCCTACTCCTATGGAAGGTTAGAGTGGACCTAAAATGTGACAACCTTTTAGGTGAGTGTGTCGTGGACGGGTGCAAGAGGCACTAATAGGCTACCACACTAGGCGAGCTACAAGTGCACAGTCCCTACACATAAAACCTTTGATAGGTTATGCTCATAACAGTATTACATATCATTTCCTTGTGCATAAATCATACAATGAAAATAAAGATGAACTTAGAGGTAGTAAGAAGGCTAGAACGTCTAAATCTTTTATTCCTGATTTTCTAGCATGTTTATTGGAAAATAAGCCACAAAGCTTTAGGGAAGCAAATTCTTCTCTTGATTATTATTATTTCTTATATTAATTATGTGATATAATTAATCATGTGATATAACATAAAACTATATTGTTATGCAAGTTTAATATTATTTTTATAAATGTTTACTTTCATTTGATACTATAATATTGAACTATGTAATTGAATTACTTAATGTGTGTTGTAATTCAAATTTACAACATAATTTATTTAATATGTGATATTATTGAATTTTGTATGAATGGACTAGTCCAACTATGTCAACTTTTCTGATAGTCAAAGGAAAACGATCTATACTAGTGTTTAAGACACGTATAGCTGTAAATGGGCTGAATCAGAGAAAATTTTCCAATAACTCGAAAGAATTTAATGGAAAATATTATAGATACACTAAGCAAGTACACCTAGACAAGTTAAATCAAGCTAGTTAGCACTAATATACAATTTAACTAAAAGCTAAAATGTTATTGAGTTGCAAATTAGTTAGCTTAGGTATAAGCTAAAATAATTAATGAGGTGCACAGAACCTAAGATGAAGATGAAAAACTGTCAGTTGGTTCTAACTCTTAACTTGATAGTAAAAAACATAAGGGTAATGAGTAGCCATTGTAGTCATAAGCTATTTGAGCTATACATCATATCTGCTCATGAAGGAGGGAATAATACATCTTGAAAAGTAGTAGTTTTTGAAGAATATTCTTCAAAATAAATTACTCTACTACCAAGATAGACCACTTAGATAAGTGTGTACTAAAGTTATGAGTTACTAGAATTGCTAGCTAAACAAATTTAACTTCAAGCGAGCGGTAATAACTGAAAAATGGGTGCTCATCATAACTTAATAGTGAGATATGAGAAGAGTGTGTAATAATACTTGAGAAGTGAGTGCTCACTCTGTGCTGATTGTATCCAAAACTTAAATAATAAGATAATTATTTGCTTAAATGATTGAGTTATGTGATGTGTGACACATGAAGGGTTATGACATGTTAATATAACTAACTTAACATGAATAACTCAATTCATAAATACAAAAGATGTAGAAGTAAATATTAATTAAATCCCATATCTCTAGCATTAATTCACAGTAACGTCAGTGACATATTATAAAAACAAGTTAGAGATAAAGTGAATACATATGCACTAGAGACTGTTAGACATGCTTGTTGAAAAACAAATATAGAACCTTGGAAAGGTAGATGGGGTGAAATATTTAATATATGGTATTTCAAGAGTTGGAAAATCATAAGAAATATATCATATATAAAATTTCAGGATTATCCCAAAGTTGTGGGGGGATATTGTCCATAGATAAAATTTGTTATGAGTTACCTCACCAAATAAGAAATACTTTTAAATGTAGGATTCTTAATCCTAAAATTTTTTGGATCGAACCAAAAATTATTTATAGTATTATAACAATAGTGCATGTTGTTTCCTATGAGGAAAATATTATGGAACAACTAGAAAAGTTCTTTTTCCAGCTGAAGAGCTGAGTTATTTGTTCTAGTTGAAGAGTAAAGTGTGCAAGCTTATAAATCCTTTAGTGGATTAAAGCTAGTACCAAGACAATGACATAAATGTGATGTATAAGTCATTGTATGCCTTAAAAAAATTAATGATATACTAATTAGTATATTTGATATGAAAGATTTAACATCTAATAAAATAGTATAAGTGAGATTGAGATAATACTAGTTATGATAACAAAAGCCTAGCTAACTTTTGTAAATGTAAATCTCAAATATAAATACTAGCCAAAGTATATCATTGGTTGAGATTGCAAGGCATCTTAATAACTGTGTTTAATTGCACATTTTCAATCCAGGATCGGATCACTGAAAAACAATAAATTGGGTAGTTGAGATACACCCTAAATCCAATATTGCATAGATTGAGGTATCTAATTAAATTGGAGGTGTAACAGTAATACAATCTGGATATGGGATATTAAAGATTTCAAATTCAATAGTGGATATGTCTTTTATATTAAATGTGTAGTTCTATGTTCTTAATATAACTCAAAGTTAGAAACTTTGAATAAATCAAATAGGGAAGTCAATAGACTTCACCTAAAGGACAATTCAAAGTAAGTCTACACCTGTGCCACTAAAGAAAATGATATTGCTAACAATAAGCAATTTTAGGACACAAAGTATACAGTTGCTCTCACCTGGAGAAATCTCTGTAGAGTGTAATATTTCTAAACACAACCTTGTGGCCACATATAAAATTGAAGGTTGTACTAGAGAGCAATTGTACAGATCATCGAGCGGAATGGGATTAAAAGCCGAAAGCTAATGAGTCACCTTAATGGAAACCCAACCTAGTTGACCGGAGATCCCAAGATCTAGGTTTAAAGGGACAACAAAAATTCTAAGTGACTCACCAGAAGCACTGGGAAGATATAAATCTTCTGCCCATTTCTATGGTGAGACAGTGCTACCTACAGCGAGGATTAGGATAAGCTACGCTTTTAATGACTCTTATACCTTGAAAATTCAAATGGAATATGGTAGGATTCTTTTAACAAGAAGTCACCTATATGAGTGTGAAGTGGGGCCGCTTCTATGAGAACTATAAAGGTTAAGTTTTCTGGAGCACTCATTGAATACCAGGACTTGTTCAGGCCCAAAATGAACACAACAATGAGAACCAACTTTGTGAGGAAAGGTACTATGTGTTTGTTATTGTCTTGGTTTACACAAACGGCTGAACAGTTCAAGACATCGCGTTCACTGGTTAGCTAGTAAATCCGATAGCAATACACTAGGGGAGGTTCAAAGCTAAAAGCTACCTATCCTGATGCAGTAAATTTTCGACTATACTCTCTCTAGTGTCTGCATGATCATCTGTTGCATTTTACGCAAATTTCCATTCATGTGGGGGATTGTTGGAAATGGGGGCATTAAAAACATAAACTTTGGATGAGATTTGAAATAGATTCCGCTAAGAATTTTTTGCGGATCTTCAGACGAGCGTGTTTCTCTCCGCAAGGAGATGAACGTGGTATATTTACTTTCTTAAATCCGTTTCGGGGTGAATGAGAAATTAGCTCTAAAGTATGGTATTTTGATAAGCCTAAATGGGTATGCAAAATGTGGGAAGTGTCTGTCCCACATAGGAAAAATATTAAAACAAATTAAAATTTAAACAAGTTGAGTTTAGGATTTGGGCTTGGGCCTAATTGTAAAGTCCAGATTATTCTTTTTTGGAATTTTGGATTGGGCCTAATTTTGGGTTGGGCTTATTTAAATGGGTTTCACAAATGGGTGGGTTTTTTGGGTGGTTGGTTTTTTGAATTAAAAAAATTACTTTTTAGTTTTTCTAAAAAGTTACACTTTTTAAATTAAAAAATCATATTTTAGTTTTTCTAAAAGGTTATACCTTTTAAATTAAAAAAACCATATTTTAGTTTTTCTAAAGGGTTATACCTTTTAAATTAAAAAACCACTTTTTAGTTTTTTTTAAAGGGTTACACATTTTTTCGAACCATCATAACCCATGGTTGTACCCACTTGAAAAGGCACATTGCAACATATTAGAATGAATGTGTCTATTGGTTAACAGACACCATGTAAACCATTGCAACCTATTGGAATAGATGTGTCTAGTGGTGAACAGACACCATGTAAACCATTGCAACCTATTGCAATGATTGTGTCCAATAATGAAGAGATACACCCAATCCGAAAAGACATTTCTGTTTATATAAATACCCCCCTTTGGATCATTTGCAAGTGGTTCATTTTCATTTTCTTCTTTCTCCCTCTCTAGACTTGAACCCAACCCAAGTGGGTTCAAACCATAGGTTAAGTGGTCCGAACCACTTAGACTCTAATCCAATTTTATCGAGCCATATTAAGATTAGTTCGAACTATTTGGTTCGGATTACACCAAATTCAGTATTTATATAGTATAGATGTATTTTTGAGTCAGAGAGAGTATTACACAAAGGAGGTTCGCCAAATCCACGAGTTTGTAGTGTTGCTACTGATAGATGTACACCGTTGTATCTTGGGAGATAGACGTCACTAAGTCCGTTAGCACCATAGCGGGGCGAATCTGTCTTATAGATATAGTATCCAATACTAACCTCGGTCTAGGTTCTTTATTTATTATTATTATTTTATTAATTTATCTTGCATATTTAATTAAATATAGAGTTGCATATTTAATTAATAATTTCTTAGCATATTGTTAATTATCTCATGACATATTAGTATAAGGTTTGTTATATCTTAAATGTCACATGAAGCATATATTTTAACAACAATTTTCAGTTTTCTTCTTTCTGCAGAATAATTTCTTACTCTATTTTTGGATGATCTTCTGAAATATAATTACAGTATAGTACATATTAAAAACTATAATAACCTGCAGCTTTTCCTAAACGATTTGTTTCATGCTTGACTGATCCTAGAGGTCATTTGAAGAGACACTATGGCCATATGATTTTGTTTCGTCGCCTTATTTTCTTACTGCTAAGGAACGCGGTTCAGCTTCAGGACGACTGGTTGTCCAAGACAGGTAACAATTTCTTCTCTAGAGTGAAGATTATTCAAGAATGCACTAACAAACAATCATGTTTAAGTAATTAAATTCCATTTCCTCAAAACCAAAGTTCATATGAATGTCATCAGTCCAGTGACAGTGTCAAAGTTTAATGCTGAGCCTAAAAGGATGGTCTGATAATTTAGGCTGCAGATTTGGTTTGAAGGTTGAAACAAGTTAATTTTGTGACACCTTCCAAAAAATATATAATAATAATAATTAAAAATAATAATAATTTTGTGACAGAAGCTTTCTAATTGTCATTTCTCCAATTAGACTTCTTCCTAGCTCAATTCTATAGATTTTGTAGCACTATTAATCTAAATTTTTCCTCAATATATTTGTTTGTTGCTGTCATGCATTCTTCAAACCTCATTGTCAATGTCAAATCAGTTCCACTAACCTAGGATTACCGCGTTGGTTAACTATTTGTATTCAACATAAACTCCAGGTTTGTTTCTGGTTCTCTCATCCCTGCTAAATATGCATATGTCGGTCTATCGGCCGCAAGAACCGAAGGATCCTGGCAAACAGAGAGCAAGGTAATAATGTGTTTACACTCTTTGAAGCTCTATTAGTCCTTCCTGGTGATACAAGTACTACATTTCTAAGATACAAAATATTTCTGGTCCACGTAGGATTATCAATTTTGGGTGCAAACAGATGCAAATGGAAACTTTACCATCAACAATGTCATTCCAGGAGTCTATGGACTCCATGGTTGGGTTCCCGGATTCATCGGTGATTATCTTGACAAGGAACTTGTCACCATCTCTTCAGGTACAATTATATCACTCCTCCTTTTGACTTGAGAAGATATACAGGAACAATATGTTCATGACCATCAAAGCATGGTTTTCAGACAACTGATTCTTGAACTTCATCAGGATCACAAACACAACTTGGTAATTTGACTTATGTACCCCTCAGAGATGGTCCAACTGTGTGGGAAATCGGCTTTGCGGATCGAACGGCTATTGGTTATTATGTTCCTGATGTGAATCCTATGTATGTTAACAGGTTGTTTCTCAACAGCCCTGAAAAGTAAGCAACTCTTATCTTCTCTGTGTATCAACTTCAAATTGCTTGAAAAACTCGTCCATTTTAGATCAACATATATATATATATATATATATATATATATATATATATATATATATATTGGTAAGTTTAATACGCCATGTCACTATTTATTTTTGTAAAACCATTCATGCTATACTAGTCTTAAATATGAAGAGAAATTTGTTTAAATAATGCATGGTACAATACATAAAATGTGAAACAATATAAAAAATAAATTACATTAGAACTTCCTTATTGATTCAAATACTACAGCTGCCACTATCAACATTCCCAATGGAAATTTGCAAGTGCGGTTTTACGTTTTTGCCCTTAATAATTTGTAGTATGCTAATGTAGAAGAGATACCAACAATAGGAGAGACCTAAGTAACTTTTTAATCAGCCGGAGAAACTGATGTAATTATGTTATGCTTAAGAAAGGTGGGGGTAATTAACCAAATACATAATATACCTTTAGAGTACCTGTAAAAAACAAAATTAAGAGCACAAATGATTAGCATAAATACATTTTATCAAAGTATTTTTAATTATTTATTAAAATCAATTTAATAAAAAATTAGAGTAGATATTCCAAAAAATACCAATCATAACTAACAATCTTATACAATTATTTACATTACTAGTCACTCTGAATGTGATAATTGGTACAGAAATAAGTTAAATATAGTGGATTTATGAATTTTTACCCAAAAACTATACATAGAACCCTCAAAATTCTTATCTGGATTGAACCCTCAAGATCATCATCTAAATCAAACCCTCAAGACCATCCTCTGAATCGAACCCTCAAGACCATCCTCTGAATAGAGCCCTCAAGACCCTCGTGTGAATCGAACCCTAAAGACGCCTAACACCCTCGTCTGAATCCGACTCTGAATAACGACTTGTGTTTAGACTAACATATATGGCGAAGTACAATACTAACTTCATTCTAATCTGGTTCTCCGACTCCTATACATACAATAAAGCAGTTTTGCATTTAATACATGTTCCATTTCCTTTAATCTGACCCCATTTAAATCAATCTTATATGTTTAAACTCTTCTTAATCATTTGTACCAAACACAGATACAGGCAATATGGCTTGTGGGACAGATACACAGACATACACCCTGAAGTTGATCAAGCTTTCACTACAGGCATCAATGATCCAAAGAAAGATTGGTTCTTTGCTCATGTGGACAGGTCTTTCCATTTCTCTCCTTTTCCATCCTAGTGAAAGATCATCAGAACTACACGCACCTCTACATTTTGTTTGATCATTTCAAATTCGAACACAACATTTAAGTCTAGTCTATACTAAAATGCTCAAACCTTCACAGAAGGGGAGCTGCTAAGTATCTTCCATCAACATGGACAATCAAGTTTAATCTCACTTCAGTAACCAGTGGAACTTACAAGCTGAGGTTGGCTACCGCATCAGCAACTCGCTCCGATCTTGAGGTAAGAACCATCACAAATATTGCATCTAAGTTTTCTCTTTGACTCCAAATTACTTGAAACTTATTCCTAATACTTTGTTACAGATCTATGTCAACTATATAGATGCACAGCACCTGGTGTTCCAAGTGATGAATTTAGGGACAGATAACACGGTTTGTCGCCATGGAATACATGGACTCTACCGGCTTTTTAACATTGATATTTCGTCGTCGTTGTTGATTGAAGGAGACAACACCATATTTCTCACACAGGCCAGAGGTGGTGATGCACTTTGTGGAGTCCTCTATGATTATATAAGGCTAGAAGCTCCAGCAACTCCTCAGATAACTGAGCAGCTGTAAAACAAAGATTCAATATGGCTTATCTTCAATTTTCAATCAACACTTAAGCAGGGCATGAATAGAAGATTCAATATGGCTTATTTTATTACCAAGACTGAAGAAAAGAAGAAAATGTTTTCATATGGCAAATGAAGTTAAAGCTAGTGTCCTAAATAAATACTATAGGTATCCTGGGGTACTAGGAAATTATTAATCAATAATAGTATAAGAGATATCCCAATAATATTATGATTATTTAAAATAATCAATAAGATTATTAATTATTAATTTTTGTTTGGTTTTGAACTTTTTACACCCGAACCTTTCACGGCAACAATATTATTATTAATTATTAAATTTTTCTCTCGTTTTTAACTTTTTACACATGAACCTTTCATGGCAACAATATTATTATTAATTATTAAATTTTTGCTCTTACACTTATGTAGAGTTATGTAAAATTGTGTGTATATATATATATATATATCTGTACAGAAATCTTAGAGTGATCTAGCATTTTTTTTTTTTTTTTTCACGAGTGATCTAGCATTATACAGAGATATCTTAAATATTCAATTTTTTTAAGAACATTTTAAAATACTCTTAACTTTATATATTTACAGATTCAACCCATTCAATGTAAAGCTATGCTTATAAATAGATGGGATCTTTTTAACCTTTCCTTCACTCTCGTAGCTCTACTTTTCACTAACCTACCTTTTTCCTCCAATAATTTTAACAGAATGTCTATATTGATAAATCCTATATTAGATTGCGTAAAATAAATTATGTCTAATAGTAATCTCAATCTCCAAATTATCAAGAAGTTAATAGGCGGAAGTTAATAGTTATTTAGAGTATCATCCATTTCAGCTTTCAAACTGTTGTGTGTTTTTCTCTCAACTCCAATTTAGGTTATTTTTTCCTTAAAAAATGAAAGAAACATATGCATATCAGAGTTAAAAGACTGAAACGCTGGTTTGAGAAAAATGTAAAATATCAATTTTTTAACTTTTTATTTTTATTTCTTTTGTTTTTCTCAATAATACTCAGATTAAGAATGCTAAAGATACTATTTGGCTGACAAAAACAGTGACAAGATGGTTTCTTGAAAATATATATATATATATAAACAAAATTTAAATTTTTTTGTTTAACACAATATTGATATTATATCCGTTAAGGCACTTTTTTGGCTAACACAAACCATGCCTTAACGGCTATATTGGCCCAAAAAAATATTTTTTTTTTAATTTTTGTAATTTAACTATTTTAAATATAGATATTGGAAAAATAAATAAATATCAAAATATTATTATTTTTGGAGAGTGTAAACACACCATTGGATTAAATGCCATAACTAAAATTTGGAGACTACAAAACGTTGACGTGACTTTTAAAAATGTTAACATGGCTCTTGAAAAATGGATGTGACAAATTTGAGTTGCCAAATTTTTAAGATGTTAGAGCAAGTCCAATGGTCCAAAATTCAACGATTTTGGGCCAAATTCCACAATTGGACTCCTCCAATGGACTCGCCAGAAATTAGGCTCCACCCATTGGGTCGGGAAATGGATCACTGAAAACAGCGACCCCATTGGCGATTCGCGGGCCTACCATACGGGCCCGCATCAATTTTCTTTTATTTTTTAAATTCTAGCCTAAATAGTGTTTTAGCCCAAAACCTAAAGGCATATTTGCCTGAAAAAAAAAAAGATTTTTGGCTTCTTTTTGTTTTTTTTTTTTTACTCAAAATAATTGAATCAAAGAACCGTTAAGGCACTGTTAACCCAAACAGTGCCTTAAAGGCTTTTTTAAGCAAAAAAAAGTTCTAAAAAAATAGAGAAAAATGTTTTTTTTTTTTTAAAAAAAATTATTTTTTAAAATATTCCTACTCGCATATAGGGCTGCAAGTTGGGCTAGCCCAACCCAGCCCAGTCCCAACCCAACCTCAATCTAAATCGGGTTGGGTTAGGGCCAGTCCGAATTGTATCCAACATGGGTTATGGTCATAACCCAGCCCGAATATTTCGGTCGGGTTGACGGGGTTGAGTTTTTTTTAAAAATTTTTTTTTTTCAAGAAATTTATATATATTTGATTATATTATTATTAAAAAATAAATTATATATATATTATATTTGATTATTTTTAGGGCAAATTGTTGGGGGAGAAATACACGCGGTCCGATAAGACACCGTTTTCCTGTAAAGAAGAGAGTAAAAGATCGATGAATCTTAACGGCACCGGCGTGGTGTCTGCCAAGAGCTCTCCGATGATCAAGTCAGTTACCAGAGGTCTAAAAGAAAGGCATAGATTTAATAATCGTTTTTTGTTGTACCTTTATTGGTTGGTAAGATCTCATTCTTATAGTCGTTTGCCCTCAGTTCATTTGCGGAATCAGAGGAGATTCGCTTGTGCGAGATCAAAGGAGATCGTTTGTTGCCAGATTTGTCGGGGATATGATTTACCCCTTGACTTTCTCAAATTATGCCAAGGTTATCTTTACCCTATGGAACCACGTCATCTTTCATTATAACCTTGATAATGAAATATTATCATTTTTATCCAATGGAAATATCATCGTTCGAAAGTCGAAGAGGTCTGGCGGTTGGTCAACACTTAGTTACCTTTATCGTTAGATCAAGATAGGTTAGGTTTATTTTTCCCTATCAATTGACCCCCATTCCCAAACTTGCTCGTCTAACTTTGGGAATGTGAATTTTTTTTTTTTTTGCCCTTGGCACTGTTCCCTCGGGAATCGTGTTGCAGGTACTGTTCACTTGAACAGTAAATTTTTTTTTTTAATTTTTTTTTTGGGTATCCTTGGGTAATCTTTTTTTTGGGTAATGTTCCTTGGGTAATCTTCCCTTGGGTACTATTCCCATGGGTACTATTCCCAATGGTGGAATTAATACAGATACCAAATCAAGGTTTTGTTTTGGAAGGGCATGGATTCAAACCCATGGTCAATGACTCTTAGTGATGTAAAACTGGATTTTTCTTTTGAGTAAACTTTATAGGTTTCAGTCAGTCCATCCCTTTGGCAAGGGAATAAATTTTACAAGCTTCACTTAGCTCGTCACTCCTTTAATAAGAGAACGAGCTTCACTCAGCTCGTCCCTTTAGTAAGAGAATTAAATTTTACGAGCTTTACTCAACTCGTCCCTTTAGTAAGGGAATTAGGTTTTACGAGTTTTACTCAGTTCATCCCTTTAGTAAGGGAATTAGGTTTTACGAGCTTCACTGCTCATCCCTTTAATAAGGGATTTTTGTTTTACGAGCTTTATTCAGCTTTTCCCTTTAGTAAAGGAATTATGTTTTACGGGCTTCACTTAATTCATCCCTTTAGTAAGGGAATTAGGTTTTACGAACTTCACTCACCTCATCCCTTTAGTAAGGGAATTATGTTTTGCGAGCTTTACTCAGTTCGTCCATTTAGTAAGGGAATTAGGTTTTCTATTAGCTTTCTGTAGAGCATTAATTACCACGTAGGTAGGTAACTGAAAATATAATATTTTATTGCTTAAAAAATGAGGGTCATCCATCTCATTGGTGATGGTGAGTTTATTGGAAAACAAAATAACACGTGAGGGAGCTACCCTCCATTTAAAATGATGAACTAGGATGCCCCCGGTCTTTATTTTGAATGACTTGATAAGGCTAATTCCAGCTGTGAGACAATTGTTAGTCGGTATACTTATCTGAGTCATTCTCACGATATGTCCTATCACTTTGGCTGAAGAATGATCTTTTATAGTTGGTATCCTTTTCATCCCTGGGGAGAGGGGCTGACCTCTTCTTGTCATTTCCTTCCTTTCCCTTCTGTGCATTCATGGCATCTTCAGCGTTCATGTGTTTTTGCGTTCTGATCAACAACTCTGCCATACTGGTTGGAGGTTCTTTTGATAAGGAGAACAAGAATCTGGAGGTTTGGAGTCCTCATATGAAAGCGATCAAAGCCACCTTGTCGTCCACCTCTTCTACCTGCAACATCTCTGTGTTGAATCGGGTGATGTATTCCCGGATCGACTTTCTCTTCTGTTGCTTCACGGTAAGCAGGTAAGTGGCCGGCCTCCTATGCCTCTGACCTGCAATGAAGTGGCTTACAAATTGCTTACTCAGTTCTTCGAAAGTGTTGATGGTTTCTGGCTTCAGCTTGTTGAACCAAACTCTTGTCAATCCCTTAAGTGTAGTGGGAAAAGCTCGACACATGATTTCATTTGATACGGCATGTAAATGCATAAGAGCTTGAAAGGTCTTCAGGTGATCAAGGGGATCTTTGGTCCCATTGAAGCTTTCGATGAGGGCATCATGAACTTGCTAGGCAGGGGGCATTTCATAATTGCGGGGCTGAACGGCAAGTTGGTCCTTTGCACCGGGTCATCTATGACGGCAGGACCTTTCCCTTTCATAGCCTGCATTACATCTTCCATTTTCACCTTGAGATTCTCGATTTGTATGTCGAGATAAGTAACTTTCTCTGTTTTTTCCTTAACACAGAAGGTTGTGCCTGTTTGAGGCTGGGGATTCTGCGGAGGCGGAGAAGGAGGTTTTCTATGTCGGTTTCCGACTTGGCTTTGTTCTGCCTCAAACTTATGAGGAAGATCGTTTTCTCGGTCCTTCTCGTGTTCTCCCCCATTATTCAGATTGGGAGGATATGGGTCAGACAATTCTTATTGAGGTGGTGGTTCCGCTGGGATAAGATGTTGCAGGATCTTGCATTTTGCTGGATCAACTGGTCTATACCCTGATTCAGAGTTTGGACCTATAATTCTAACGCTGCAAGCCGTTCCTGGTCATTCGGGACGTCTGGGTGTTCACCCGACCCTTCTCTTTGACTGGATCCCTGCAATGATGTTTCTTTTCCAGTTACCATACCGGAACGCAAGTGTATATACCCAACCGAGTAATTTATTGATTTAAGGGAATTGGCGTTTCCCACAGACGGCGCCAACTGTTAGGGGAGAAATCTACACGGTCCGATACGACATCGTTTTCCTACAAAGAAGGGAGTAGAAAA